TTGTAAACCGCTTCGAGCTCTACAGCTATCATTTAGGAAACACTCCGTAAACATGGCATTTGTAATCTATTTATCAAATTTTATTTGTTTTACTAACGAAACTAAAGTGCCTGTCATATGTATTATCAATCACCCTGTATAACCCGCTAACTAAAAGATTAATGCACGTTAATCACAACTTCACAACATGACGAAAACCGTGTAGGAATTACTTTACTTCCTTACCACAATTTCATATATTAATTAAAACCCCCTCAAGGTTTAACGAAACTTTAAAAATCACATAATTTAGTTTAATTTTCAATGTGAAAATATACAGGGTGATCGCCTGTGTCATATTCTTCAAAGCGAAATCTCGTTTTTTTATCAAAAATGATAAATAAAATGTTATTCATTTTTTTTTAGATTTCAAAACTTAAACTTTCTAAAAATACATTATATAGGTAACTCAATAATTTTATACGGAATTGTGAACAGAAATGTCAGAATTCCATAAGGTTTCTGACCTTTTCCGTTAATAACGTTTTAATAGTCGATTTTGGAAACCTTCGCTAGCATTTGATCAGAAATATTAACGAACTGTATAACATCAATGACTCCTAATGGGTTATTAGGTACAAAAATAGTAGTTATTAACGTTATAAAACTACCTACCGAATTTAAAGTTGAAAATAACTCAATTAGGTAACTTAACTGGTACCTAAGTTAAAAATATTCATGGTTTTCGTGTATTTCGAATAGGTGAAAGTTTTTTTCAAATGGCCTCATACTGAAGGGCGGAAAACAAAAAAGAATTAAACTACCTACCGAATTTAAAGTTGAAAATAACTCAATTAGGTAACTTAACTGGTACCTAAGTTAAAAATATTCATGGTTTTCGTGTATTTCGGATAGGTGAAAGTTTTTTTCAAATGGCCTCATACTGAAGGGCGGAAAACAAAAAAGAATTAAATTAACTCATACAAATTTCGAGTCATTTTTTTAAAGTAATACTTTCAAAAACACCATCATGTACGTTAACAATAAGTACAGTAATAGTTAGTTGTAGAATTTGTAGTTAAAATATACCGTGAAAGAATATTGTGACCAATTTTAAATATGCACCCTCATCTTATCGATCTAATAAAAGTATGTAAAAGGGAGTCAGACGGGTATTAACCGTGGGGGTGGTCAGTCAATGGAACTACGGCGACGGCATGGCGCCAAACAGAGGGATAGACCGAAAGGAAAGGTGTCTCGAATGTAATAAGGGATAAGGGTGCATATCAAAGGGGAATTCAAAAATTGCAAAACTTTCTCTCTACATTCAACAAAATTATATTGTCTCTCAAGCAACCATTTAATGGTTAAATGCTTCTGATATACAGAGTGACCAATTATCGTCTATGTAGAATTGTATAGCCATGAAGAAATACATGGTTTTTCAGTGGTAAATATTTTTATCATTCATAGTTTATTAAATGAATGCATTTTGTATTTAATAAATAGTTGATTATTTTTATCGACATAAAGACATAACATAAACATAACTAAAAATTAAATGTAATATCCCTATGTTCTGTTCGCCACTAGTGTATAGTACGTATAACATTATTATACACTAGTGACGAGATGAGAACCAATCATCGGAATACTCTATTACATTCAATCTTCAAAAAGTGACATCATCTTTTAAAAATTCCACATAACATATAAATAATAAAGTAGCATAAGTTCGATAAATGCGATTTAAAACTTTTGAAGGTAGTTACGCCTTGTTCAAAAGATTATGAAAGCTCAGTTAGTATTAGTAAAGGATAGTTTTTAGAAAAAAAGGACAGACTTGGATGAAAAAATATATAACTATCAATTATGCATTTTCGCTCGTACCGACAAAAAAATAATTTCTATATTCGGTGATAGTTTTGCCTTACCTATATAGCGACAGATTAAATATAGATTATCCTGTCAGTTAAAAGAATAGAAGGTACCTGATAGGCACCCAAACAAATCTTGGTTTGGTTTGCTTGTCTCAAAATTAATTTTGTAATAGAGCAATTAGAATAATTTATAGTGGTAGATACCTACATGTTTCTGTTATATCGAAAGGGTAGGTACCATACACCATATAACTTTTTTGGCCAGTTTTCTAGTTTCTGAAACTTTTTACACAATAAAAGTTTCTCAACAACTGCAAGTACCCGTATTAAATAGCCTTGTCCTGTCACACGTAACATGTGCTTAATATAAAAACCTTGAATGAACTAAATAACGTTTGCCCCGAAAAGGAGTCCGATTATTATTTTTTTGGTTGATATTATTGTTGAAAATTGACATGTTATTTGATAGGCAGACAGAAACGCATGTGTTGTTTGTCCCCGACCTACATTATGTGCTCAAGACTTACCGTTGTAGGCGTTAAAAGTAATCCTGTTGTAATGAAATCATTTGTTGACAACTGCGATTGTTGACTATCACTCGAAAAATCGGAATTGTTCGATAGACTGTCGCTCAATTCTAATTTCATTTTGATCGAATGTTAATATAATAAATAACAACAACAAAAATAAAACCACAATAGTTAAGTGTTTTTTCTAATGAGCACTATTACGTCAAGTTAACCTAACAAATTCTAGAGCGATAGCGGCAAATTGTTTGAAAACAATTTTAAATTTAAATAACACTTGTAACAGTAGTAGTGGAAAGATGTCGCTCTGGGCAACGCGAAAGTCAAACAAAAAAAACAATATTAGGTTCATATGACTCAACCAGGAATGCCCTTCCGAAAACAACCACTTTGCGCGAACATGAACTCACATCTAAAAATACAAACGTGATCACACCAAATACCAATAAAATTCGTCGGAAAAACGAAAGTTGCCGAACTCAGTTGCACCGTGTTAAATGTTTTACACCAATAGGAACGTCGGAAATGAAACAAATAAACGAATTGTAACGGACGCAACCGAACCAAAGGAATTATTGGATGAACTTGTAGAAAAGATTTCGGAGAAAAGGTGAGTCATCAAGACGTTCTTTTTATTACGTGGGTTTTCGATTGAATACACACATAGTCATCAACATCATACAGGTCTCTGACAGGTACAGGTATACAGGTAAACGTATACGTGTAAACCTTTGATTCCTCTCTGTTGCGAGTTGTGAGCGCCTGAAGTAAGCAAATGACTTGGTAGACCGGACCGGAAGTTCAAAGAAGTTACCGCTCGCGTACCAGTTTGCAACCGGAGTTTTTAAACTATGACTCACACTTTGTTGACACCCACAAACAAGGCAATAAATTAACAACACAGATTTCACACCATTAAAAAAATTAGCGCGAACTGGTAGCGCTGATTTTTATATTTTGCAATTATTGCAAAAAGAAAACAATTAACTAAAAAGAAAAAGGTTTTACAAGAGTTCCAAAAATTTAGATAGCAATTTTTCTAATGAATTTACACAAAATAGCAACAATTTTAATTTTAACGCAAAAACAAGTTTTTAACTTTTTATCTACTCAATTCTTGTATTCCACCTTTAATTTACAAACTCCTCGATTTTGTTATCCATTTTCTATGAAAATAAAAATGTTTTTGTATACTTTTCAACCTACGATAAAACAAACTGTGCCAAAATATAATATGACATACAGACAATTCGGCGAACATCGAAAATTCATCTTGCAGAGCAATATATTCTAAAGTAAATACGACCGTTTTCTGGGTAAACTTTGAATACAAAGTTAAGCACCCCATTAAATAAATAAAAAGTACAATAAATTAAAAAAATTCAAAGTATTAACAACAAAAGCATTGCTGCAAATACATTGTGAGAGTTCATAAATTCGAACATACACTAATGTGTAATAGTAAAAACACGTGTGCAGCACAAAGTAGAACAAATAAAACAAATCTGCATGCAAATGGTCAAAGTGTTTGTGGGTAGCTATGCATGCGTGTATTATGTATTTATAAATAGTTTTCACTCTTTGTTTCGTATTTTGAAACTGACAAAGCCTATAATATACAAAACCACGTGAAATAGGATTCACGAACAATAAAACTTTTACCATCACCAAAAGGTATTACAAAACATGCACAATAATATACAGGGTGAATCAAGTTCTGTACCCATATCTCATAAAGACAGATTTATTATTTATCCCAATTTCAAGAGCTTGAAAATATTCAACAGCAAATTGCCAAGAAAATAAAATATTCGCAAATAAACCGTTAATGAAAACATTATTTTTATTAACTACACGCAAAATGTGTCTTGAAAACTTTCCAAAGTTTTTTTATTGAATTAGTTATTATACAATTGCTTCGCAAACTATATTTCTAAGAGAGACAAGGGACGAGATGTGAGGGAGAAGGAAGAAGTTACAGCGACAGTCGCGCAACATTTGCGTGAGCTACTTTAGTAAGCCAATGAATATTAGTTGTCGCGTAAAAACGAAATTTCACTGACTTGCCTTCTAATCAAATAGTGCACATTCTACATTCGGAAAATTTGTACGCATCCGGTTTTCTCGGGTTCAATTCCTGGTCGATGCACTATCTTTTTTAGTTGCATTTAACTCCTTTTATAATAAACGTATCAGAAGTTTCACGTATTAATATAATTAATTATAGTTGTATATTGTAGAATGTATTATTATAGTTTACCTATTAATAATTTTTATACATAACAGGACTCAATTGGTATTCTGAATAAATAAAATTGTAATATTGTTCTTTTTCTTTTAAAATAAAATAGTAACAAAATTAAAAATTACACGTGACAATAATTCATATAAATAAAAGCATAGTAAAAGTATGTATATATGTTAAGGCAAGATATAGTGTGATTCATAAAGACATCTTTTGCTGACATTGCATTTACAGGATATAGTTTATAAAAGCCGTTCATAAAATAGAGTAGTTATTCTAGCTTAAGACTAGACCTAGTATAGTTTGTACTTTGTATTAATAAACTTTTTTTAAAAAGTCTTTGTTCCAATTTTGGAATATAACATATACACAAAATCGGATCCTTTCAACCACATGATGTGATGCACTGGTAAGTGGTAACAGTAAACTATGGCATTTTGAAGAACAATATACAAATATATTCAACACTTAAAGGGAATTGAATTATAAAAAAATAATTCATATAAAATGTAAATTTTAAAATAGTCAAAAATTCATTACTCAATTTCCAGGTCAAATTTATCCACTTCTTCACATTCTGAATTAAATGCTGCTGCCCATTTTTCGAATTCTTTTTCCTTAAAACGAATATATTAATATTACAAATTACATTGACAATTTCAACATACCTCCTCTTTACCAAGAATGTTTTTCTTTTTCTTCTTCGAAGTAACAACAACCGAATGCTCCGAATCAGAATCTTTCGAATAAAATCTTCGTTTGCGTTTAACAGGCCTTTTACGTTCGTATTTTTTAGCAATTGGCTGGAAAAATAAAATTTTAGAAACGTCTATCGGCTTTTAACCGAATAAATTACCTTTGGGTCTAGTTTAAGATCTTCAAACAGACCTACATTATTTTCATCGTTAGGAAATTCGTCAGCTTTTTGAGGCATATCTACAGCTAGATCGTCATTATCGGAATCACTGTCGTTCACTACTTTGTTGGGTGAATTTTCTACGACAACATTAGCTGCTTGGTTAGCAGAATTGTTGTTGATCAACACTTTTTTTATTTCCCTAATCGAAATTCGTGTGGGTGCTTCATTCTTATTGCGATTTTTAACTACATTATCGTCAATAAGAAGAGAATCAAAACCAAAATCATCAGTTAGGTTTAATTTCCTTTCTCGAAGTAAAGTTAGATCTATTCTTTTAAGTACAACCACTGGCGATAAATTTTCTATAAATGATGATTCTGACGAATTTACGTCTTCAGAAAAAGAGTTTCTTTTAGGATTGATTTCTTTGTCAAAACTGCTGAAAGGAGAGTGTTTTGTTGGACTGTTCTCTTTATTTTGTTTTTTAGGACGAATCTTGTTATTAACATTCACATTTTCTTTATTAGAAGAATTCTTTTTAGGACTAATTTTCTTGAATATGTTACGTTTTACTTTCCCGGGATTCCTTTCTAGTAAATTTTGTTGTTGTGACTCCTTTAAAGGACTCAACTCGTCAATGTTAAAAAAGCTTACTCTTTTCAGTTTAGGTTCAATGTCTTGTTTCCCTGATGATTCAACAAAATCTAAAATACTTTTCTGTACAACTTGATTTTCGGTGTTCCTACAATCGTCATTCTGTACAGATTTTTTAGTATTTTGACATATGCTGTCGTCGAATGTATGATTGATAATGCTATCTTGATCAGTGGCTGGTAGAGAACTTTCTTTTAACATTAAAAAGTGAGGATTATATTGAAATAGATGCTCGTCAAGTCTCCAAGAAAACGATTTCTTATTGTCAAGAGGTCGGATCATGGTACTATTGGCACCAGGACCTTTTTTACGGAGATGTTCAAAATTAAAACTATCATTGATAGTACCTTGTAGGGAATCAACATTATTTTGTAAATTTTTAGTGTTGTTTAATGTGCTGTTACTTGTTTCAAAAAGAGAACTTTCATTCGTGGTTTTATCAGGTACAAAGGTTACCAAAGAAGAAGGTTTGACTAGAATATTCGAAAGTATCCTTATTTTGTTGTTTAACGTTCTACTAGATGTAGAAGGTGATTCAACTGCAGAAGTTTTATTAATACCAAATATTTTTGAAATACTGTTTGAATTTTCTTTTATATTCGTTCTTATGATAGGGGATTTGTCTTCATCGTCAAAACCAAAATAAGTGTCAATTTCTTCTTCTACAGTTTTATTATTTTTTTGAGATTCATTGTCTATATTTAAAGGTTTCATAATATTTAAGTCACTTTCATTATTATTTATTCCATCAGAATCGTAATCTTCATTAGTCTGTTGAATATTCTGAGGAATCTCCTGTTTCTCACTACTTAATTTTATTTCATTTTTATTTTTTATATTGCTTTTTATATTAGCAATTACTCTTTCAAGATTATTTAAAGGTTTCGCTGCTATTACATCTTTGTCATTTATCAAAGTTGACACGGAATAATTATTTGCCAAATTACTTTCAGGTATATCCACTTTTCTTTGATTTTTTGGATTAACTGTTAAAAGTGCTTGAAATGTGCGAGGAAATTGACGACGTCTTCTAGGCCTCTTTTTGGTAAATTTGGGAATATCAAATAAGTGAAAACTTACTGGTGTTTGAGCTGTGTTATTTCTTCTTTTCTTTTTTAATTTATATCTAGTATTAGATGGAGAAACTATAAAATCATATTCATCTTTATGATCTTTATTATCTGTATCCATTTGAAATTGTTTGTAAATTGGTGTTTTTAATGTAGTGTTGCTATTACCTATTATATTTTTGTTAGATGTGACTAACATTGGACTTTGTATGTTCTTCCTATGATTATTACTTTTAGTAGTTGATATTGCTTTTTTCTGAGATTTATCCATTTTCATTATGTCTTGAGTTTGTTTCTTTTTGTCTTTAGAGTCATTTGATTTTGTAGATTTAAGTGTTTTTCCTTTATTGAATTTCCTTTCAAAAGCAACCTCATCTTGGCATTCATAAATTTTACTTTTGTTGTTGTTTTCCATTATCGTATTAGATTTTCTAGTTCTTGTAGTCTGCCTTAAATCCAGATTTTTCTTTTCTTTTTCTATTACTTTTGTAACACCTCTCATATTTTCAATGTCATAATGAACATTTTTTGGCATAGCTTCAGAATTCTTCAAACTTTTTTTTATTGCAGTTGGATCAATACCATTATCACAAAAGGAATTACATTCTCTTCTTCGTAGGTTACTGTTATAATTTTCAAAAAAGGATTTCTGTTGATAATTTAATAAATTTTGCAATGGAATACGCTCCAGATGAACTTTTGTGACACATTTTAGTTTATTATCTCCTTGTATTGCTTTTTTTGTTGTATTCTAGAATAAGCAATAACTTTGTTACTATCTAATACTCAGAAACAATTTTTATTTTACATACCACGTTCTGTATTTCATCTTTTTTAAAAATTGTGTGTTGTTTAGCTTCATTAGAAGAATGTAATGCAACTCCTCCAAATAACTGATTTGTATGTTGATTTATCTCTTCATGAACCAGAAAACTCTTGAATAATTAAGAACAGATATTTACTGATAATCAAATTACATAAAGATTACCTTCTCTATGTTCCTTTTCGATTTTCTAGAATTCATTTTAAGAACTTTACACAAAATATAACAACAGTATTTGTATTTCCTTTAAACCTCTCACAAAAAATTTTAGAAACGTCTATCGGCTTTTAACCGAATAAATTACCTTTGGGTCTAGTTTAAGATCTTCAAACAGACCTACATTATTTTCATCGTTAGGAAATTCGTCAGCTTTTTGAGGCATATCTACAGCTAGATCGTCATTATCGGAATCACTGTCGTTCACTACTTTGTTGGGTGAATTTTCTACGACAACATTAGCTGCTTGGTTAGCAGAATTGTTGTTGATCAACACTTTTTTTATTTCCCTAATCGAAATTCGTGTGGGTGCTTCATTCTTATTGCGATTTTTAACTACATTATCGTCAATAAGAAGAGAATCAAAACCAAAATCATCAGTTAGGTTTAATTTCCTTTCTCGAAGTAAAGTTAGANTATTATCACAAAAAAAAATACTTCTAAAATATAGCCACATTAGAGTTAACCTAAAAATTGTAAAATACTGGAAAATAATTCGTCACATTTTCTATTTAGTACCAAAAACGTGCTCTGCAAGTATTTAGATTAAAATGAGTAAAGTTGATGAGGTAAAGTATTTAATTATAAAATTATTTGTTCTATTTTTGTTCATCTTTTAGAATTCCAGTGAAGAGGAAGGTTTTGAGTTAGTAAAACATTCTGAAGAAGAACTGTCTGACTTGGAGAATGAAGAATCTAGTGAAGAAAGTTCAAGTACAAATGAAAATAGCTCACTAAAGCGTAAACTACATTCAGAAGATGATAAGAATAAAAGAATTAAAAAACATAAAGATTTATACAAACCTCCAACTACAGAGGAACTTAACCGACTACATGAAAATGAAAATCTATTCAATTCAAATTTGTTTAGAATGCAAATAGAAGAACTATTAAATGAAATAAAAGTGAAACATAAATATGTTGCTATTTTTGAGTCGTGGTATGAAAAGTTTCAAGGTTTTATTAAAAATATCCCAGAATATGATTTTGAGAAAACTAAAGCACCAAATAAACCAAAAAAGAAAAAGGAAGCCAAGCATACGTCACTACAAGAAATTGAAAGTAACCTTTGTGGAAACTGTAAAAGCGATCATTCAAAGGTCACTGCATTTATTAAACCATCTAACGTGGACATTTTTGGAAGATACAGAATAAATGCTGTTGTTGGAACAAAGTTAGAAGTTGATATTAAATTAATAATGCCAAAACTTTTATTTAAGGAGAAAGATTACTTAAATAATAGATACTGGATTATACACAATTATTATATATCCTATATTGCTACAGAACTTAAAAAAGCAAATTTTTGTTCAAAGATTTCATATTTATTGGAACACAATAATGCTTTTTTATCTAAACTAATTGTCACTCCTTTTGAATCTGACAAGATTACAATTAAAATTCATGTTGTCCCTCAAGAAGGTAGTTTTAAAAACCACCGTTTTGAACCTCAGAAAAACAATGTGAAAGTTAACATTTTACAAAATGATTTTGATGTAAATTTAGAAACATTAAAAATCACTGCAACACCTTATTACAATGCTGCTATTGCTAAAACTTCTGTGTTAGAAAAGAACTACAACTTTTTAGAGGACAATTTGAAGGACTTAAAAAATGTTCAAGATGGTATAAAATTGCTAACAGTTTGGCTAAAGCAAAGATTTGAATTTAATAATCCTATCGGATTCACTGAAGAATTGCTTTTGTTTGTGATACTGTACCTAGTTATAAAAAAACGAGTAAATAAACATATGAGTTCATATCAAGTAATTCGGAATTTTTGGTACTTCTTAAGTACTACTGATTGGAGTGAAGATCCTATTAGCCTTTCTGAAGATGTTAAAGATGAACATTTAAAGCAATACAGGAAAGAATTTGATATTGTATTTCTTGATAACAGTGGGTATTACAATTTAACTTCATTTTTGGACAAGAATATCTACATGAAAATAAAAAAAGAATCCCAAATAGCAGTAAACTTATTAGATAAAGTACAATTTAATTCATTTGGAGCACTTTTTATGACCAAAATGCCATATCAAGTGCAATATGATGCCATTGTAATGTATGTTGAAATCTAATAGTATTTTAAGTTAATTTAATTGATTTCATTGAATATTTTGTAGAATTAAAAATGAAAATCGGTTTTCTAACGCTTCTAAATTTATTTCTGAAGAAAAGAAGATCAACTACATAAGTTTTCATGAATTGCTGCTGCAGAAGACTATTGCAAATTTTTTGCAAAAGGGTTTGGGTAAAAGAATCAAGAATCTGGTTCCTCAATGTATTGAAAGCTTTATTAAAGATGTAGGGAGTAAAACACAGCCTGAATTTAATAAATTAACTTTTGGGATCACCCTTGATCCAGAACATGCATATAAAATTGTTGAAATAGGCCCGCCAGCAGATGATAAAGATGCAGCTTTAGAATTCCAAAAGTTTTGGGGAAATCTGGCACACTGCAGAAGGTAATTTATAAACTGTTTTGTGTTTATAGTTATTGAGGTATTTTTTTTACAGATTCAATGATGGAAGCATACATGAAGCAGTTCATTTTGAAGCAGAAACATTTCACGAAAAAAGAAACATTTTCAAAAAAATTGTAAACTTTGTTTTATCAGAAAAGCTTCAACTAAAAGAGAATTACATGTTTTGTAATGAGCTGGAAAAATTTATTTCACCTGGAAAATCTACTATAGAAGAATCCACTATAAAAGTAATTACTACTTTTGATGAACTGACAAAGTTATTGAGATCATTAGCTTTGCCATTAGGCATTACAGCAATTCATGGAAAATCAGATGTATTTTGGTAAAAATTGGTTACAGTGTTAAACTTCAAATAATATAATTACTGATTAAATTTATACAGCTATTCGGACCTGTTTCCACCTGTACCAACTACCCATAATCCTGAGACGGATGTAACGACTTTACAGAATGACAACATAGTTTTTAAGGAAAATGCAAACGTTAAATGGATTCCTAATTATTGTGCCCCCATTGAATGTGTTATTCATTTAAGTAAGAGAACTAGTTATTTTAAAGCTTATTGAATATTTTTAAAAGATTTATATTTAAGGTCTCCATTCCAAATGGCCAAACGACTTTGAAGCTTTAAAACACATAAAAACTGCATTTTACTTAAAAATATCTGAACTTTTAAAAGAGAAAAGTAATGTAAAGTCTAATGTTCGTCCAGAATTCTTTGATGTCTATTATAAAGGATATGTGTTCAGATTTACTCTCTATCACCCAAAAGAAATAAAATTTTTGAAGAAAGAAGTAGATTCAACTGGTACAATTTCATATAAAGATACTGAAGACAGTATAAATTATGAGAAGGAGTTAGATATAGCATGTAAAATTAGTGGAGCTTTAAATGGGTAAATTTATTTTCGAGCTGTGTCATAGTTTTTCTTCAATGAAAACGAATTTTATAAAAAAAACATTACATTTTAATTGTAACTGGATTTACGTTACTAATATTTTAAAATAATTTTTCTTTTTAGAATACAGTCTCAGTTTTCAAGTTTTGGGCCAAGCAATACACTAATAAAACGTTGGTTACGTTCGCAACTTATTGATAACTTTTATATTCCTGACATAGTTATCAACATGTTGAATGCATCAATTTATCTCAATAATGTACATCTTAGTAATTCCAATTTGCCACAAGTGCAATTTCTGAGATTTTTAAAATTTATTCAAGACAGTGATTGGAATTTGAATGCTGTTGTGGTTAATTTTAATGATGAAATAACTAGTAAGTTTAAGTTTTAATAGCAATTCTTTTCTATTTAATATTTCTATTTTTAACTGTATTTTTAGAGGAGCAGTTGGATTCATATGAAACTAATTTTCACCAAAATCGACAAAATTACCCCCCACTTTACATTATAACACCATATGATAATGGCAAGTCCTTATTCACTATTAACACCTGCGGAAAGGAAGTTTTACGACGTCTTGCAATTCTAGCAACTGCAACATACAATGTCTTGTTGGAAAGCTTTTTGCAAACTTTTGAAGTAAAACTATTAGAGGTAAAATATTTCCAACTATAAAATTTAATAAACAATCTAACTGTAGAACTTTACAGAGTATTTTCGTACCGAATATGGACGGGTATAATCTCTTAATTCATCTTAAACCCTTGTTGAATTCAAGAAGAAATGAAAGCATTGATGAATGCAACAAAAAACACTTAAAAAAATCCAAATGTAAAAATGTTTTTACGAAGAATTACGATAAATTTGCTATACCTATAGTTGGATTTAACCCTGTAGACCTCTACTTAAGTGAATTACGGGTATATTAACATTTTTTTCTTTTTATTATATGTCAGAAGTAGTGGTTATTAGATTATTACTAAAAATATCAGTATCAGATATAGGTATCTTTTGTAGGCAAATTATGGCGAATTTGCATATTTTTTTCACAACGTATATGGAGGATGTACAATAGCTGTTTTATGGAAACCTAATATCTTTGATGAAAAAGAATTTAAAGTTAGCTGTGTCAATGGACACAAATTAAAAGATAATAAATTAATATTCAATGAAGAAGCAGTCATTGAGGATTTCTATATTTTAGGAGAAGGATTAGTAGAAAACATAGAGAAAAAGTAGCATTTAATAAACATTTCCTTTAATACTACTCTTTTTTTAACCTATGAAGATTAGTAAGTTTTAAACTACATTTTAATAAATTAGTTATTTACATTTTTCTTCTGAAGTGTTTCTATAACCAATGGACCTGATTGATATAATTGCCCCACAATAACCTAAATAATAAACGGTTGTACTATTAATTTTTTTATAGTAAAAAAAAAGCTAATTACCTGTCTTTTAATGATTTCTAAATTTCGACAACCNTTAATGATGAAATAACTAGTAAGTTTAAGTTTTAATAGCAATTCTTTTCTATTTAATATTTCTATTTTTAACTGTATTTTTAGAGGAGCAGTTGGATTCATATGAAACTAATTTTCACCAAAATCGACAAAATTACCCCCCACTTTACATTATAACACCATATGATAATGGCAAGTCCTTATTCACTATTAACACCTGCGGAAAGGAAGTTTTACGACGTCTTGCAATTCTAGCAACTGCAACATACAATGTCTTGTTGGAAAGCTTTTTGCAAACTTTTGAAGTAAAACTATTAGAGGTAAAATATTTCCAACTATAAAATTTAATAAACAATCTAACTGTAGAACTTTACAGAGTATTTTCGTACCGAATATGGACGGGTATAATCTCTTAATTCATCTTAAACCCTTGTTGAATTCAAGAAGAAATGAAAGCATTGATGAATGCAACAAAAAACACTTAAAAAAATCCAAATGTAAAAATGTTTTTACGAAGAATTACGATAAATTTGCTATACCTATAGTTGGATTTAACCCTGTAGATCTCTACTTAAGTGAATTACGGGTATATTAACATTTTTTTCTTTTTATTATATGTCAGAAGTAGTGGTTATTAGATTATTACTAAAAATATCAGTATCAGATATAGGTATCTTTTGTAGGCAAATTATGGCGAATTTGCATATTTTTTTCACAACGTATATGGAGGATGTACAATAGCTGTTTTATGGAAACCTAATATCTTTGATGAAAAAGAATTTAAAGTTAGCTGTGTCAATGGACACAAATTAAAAGATAATAAATTAATATTCAATGAAGAAGCAGTCATTGAGGATTTATATATTTTAGGAGAAGGATTAGTAGAAAACATAGAGAAAAAGTAGCATTTAATAAACATTTCCTTTAATACTACTCTTTTTTTAACCTATGAAGATTAGTAAGTTTTAAACTACATTTTAATAAATTAGTTATTTACATTTTTCTTCTGAAGTGTTTCTATAACCAATGGACCTGATTGATATAATTGCCCCACAATAACCTAAATAATAAACGGTTGTACTATTAATTTTTTTATAGTAAAAAAAAAGCTAATTACCTGTCTTTTAATGATTTCTAAATTTCGACAACCTTCATTATAGAGTTTAGCAATATCACTCTGATCTGTTATAGTTTTGTATTCCCTAAATGAATCTCTAACTCGTCGCAATGCATAATTCCTAAAAAAAACTTGTGAAAAAAAATATCCATTGATTTCTCACCTAAATACCTAAAGTTGTAGGAAGGAAATTTTTTTGAAGACTGCAAAAGAAGTTTATACAAGGACAGCACTTCTTGTTTCGTCATTTGTAGTACAGTTCTTTCCAAATTTATATTTCAGTGATGTTGAGAAACAAGGATTATTGTAATATTTTACACTTATTTTTTATCCATCATAAACAAATTTAACTTAGTCTAACCTAAAACAACCACCGGTGACAAATGTAAAAACCATAGATGAGATAAAAACAAAAAATGGTAAAAAACAAAGCAGAAGCTCGTACCAATAGCTAACATAAATTTGAGTCAAATAATTTTTTAATTGGACAAATATCAGTAATTAATTTCTTAATTAAGACATTAAAATTAACTAACAATTTTTTTTTAATAAATAGAAAACCTGACTGTTATTTAGTCGATCTCAAATCGTTTGTGAATTTTGAATATGCAAACGACAATGTTTATGAATGCTTATTTTTCAAGACAAATAAAAAAAAAATTAACTTCGCAATGCTCTCTAGTGTTACTAGAGAAACCATAAGTAATTATTTACTGAAAATGGCATACTTTTGAAATAATTAATTAATTTTAAGAGAATGTTAGCTAATCGTAAGTTCATAATTAACAATTAATAATTAGCATTGAAGTGGAGGGGAACACTGGAATGAGCGCGCTTATGGGAAGCTGTTGAAAAAGTTGATCCCAAGTGTTAGACAAGGTCAGACGCTGTGGGGTGGTTATCTGTCTGCGTCGTACTAACGTAAATAGAGGTGTTATTTAGACTGTGTTGTTAATTTTTTTAGTTTTTTAAAGTAATTAGTTGAAATGGTTAGATATTGTTGTACATATAGGTGCACAAATGAATGGAGATCCAATGAAAACATAAAATTCCATAAATAAGTATTAATTAGAGATTAAAACAATGAAATATAATTTAACCTGCATTATGGGTACATGTGTACGCGAAAATTTTAATGAAAAATAAGGATAATTACCTTGTTAATCATTTGCATATTAGTTCTACTCATATATTTATTTTAAATTTCCATTGAAAAAGTACGCCAAAAAAAAAAGAGACCTCAATAATTGGGCGATAAATGTAACATTAGACATAGCTCACATAAAAAAATATTATTTTATCATGTTTAATTTATTAAAATATTTTATTAACTTAATTAGAATACTTTAATTTAATTAGAATAATTTAGTTAATTAAAATTAGAACTTTTTCGGATTAATTGTATTGTTTTGTTTGTACTAGGTCACAATAAAAATTATTTCTAATGAATTTATTGCTTTTTAACAAATTTTAAAATACGCCAATAATTTGTTAATAATTTCTGCGATAAAGATACCGCACGGCAATGTAAAATCATACACGGGTATCGCACACCTGCCTCATTTTCACCTGACTTCCGATATTGACTCATAAGCGCCTGTGTGTGAAAGAGAGATGGTATCCCACTCCGCAGCAGCGGAGCTATTCGCACACTTGCGCTCACAAATTTAACATAGCGTACGCGTTCCAGTATCTGTAGTCTAGTTCAATAATAATTAGTCAAAAAGCACAACGATTGGCATAAATGATCAAAGTTTAAAGTTTTGACTTTTTCAAATTAATGTTGGCTATTCGTACCATTATTACTATTACCCTTTGTGTATCTATTATCTATGATTCGTAAAACTGACGAAAGCGTGACATTTGTTAGTCATAACCTTAAAGTTTCGTATATTTTGTTTAAATACATTATTTTAAACCATTTTTTTAAGGAAAAATAATGTCGGACGCTTGGGAAGAAATTCAGGCAATTAAAAGTAAAAGAAACAGTTTACGAGAAAGACTAGAAAAAAGAAAAAAGGAACGTCAAGACATCCTGTGTTCAAGTTTAGGATCTACTGTTTCATCACCAGTAAACTCCTTCGATAATGTAAGCAGTAATGTTCCTAGTCCTAGTACAGTTTTAAAGGATGATGTAAAATTCAAAGCTAGAAGTGAAGATGAAAGTGACTTAGTAAAAGTTGATCCAGAAATAGAGAAGGAGCTTTTGAAAATCCTTGGTGAAGTTACTCTACAAATTCCAATTTCATCGAAAGATTTAGTGTCGTGTTTAAAACCTATTTTAAGTAATAGTGTGCATCATGGGTCAGTGTGCAATTTGTTACAAAAGTTTGCAACACAAAAACTTATTACTATTAAGGATACTATTAAAGAAGGTAATACAGTGGTGGATGTGACATTTATAGAACACAGCAAAGTAACAGTTTTAATAAATGAAGTACCACTTGAAACAAAGGCAACTACTGAGAAGGATGAACCCTTAAAAAGAAAAAGGGAAGAAGAAAACATTAATGAAATTGAAGAAGATGAAGAAAAAAAGAAAAAAGAAAAGAAAGACTCTAAAACTACAGATATATTTGTAAGTTTATCAATATCTTAAAATGTGCACAAATTATACCAGTGTTTTATTACTTGCAGTCATTATTAGCTATGCCTTCAACTAAAGAAAAAGAAAGTAAAAAAGTTGGTGAAGAAATATTGGATTTACTTAGTAAACCCACTGCTAAAGAACGATCGTTAGCAGAACGATTTAGATCTCAGGGTGGGGCACAAGTTATGGAATTTTGTCCACATGGTACAAAGGCAGAATGCCAAAGGAACAATGGTATTAAACAGTGTAAGAAATTACATTTTAAAAAGATTATCCAAAAACATACAGATGAATCTCTAGGAGATTGTTCATTCTTAAACACTTGTTTTCACATGGATACCTGTAAATATGTACACTATGAAGTGGATAGAATTGACCAAACTAAAGAAATGCCCTCTATAACTCCCTGCAAATCTGTTATTAGTACTAAAAGTACAACACTTTATCCCCCACAATGGGTACAGTGTGACTTAAGATATTTAGACATGACAGTCTTAGGTAAAAATACTTTTTAAATTAATTTATTGTCCCTAGTATCATTAATAAAGAAGTAATATTTTTCTTTGTGGTTACAAAAGTGAAAAAATCTTTATTACTAATACTTTTAAGTTTGTTGTATACTCTAAAAGCGACTGCCAAGAATTCGTGTGAAATATCCTGCAGAAATTGAATTACTAAGCTCATCCCCCTTCATTTTGGTTTCAGGTAAATTTGCAGTAATAATGGCAGATCCACCCTGGGACATTCACATGGAGTTGCCATACGGCACAATGTCTGATGATGAAATGCGACAACTAGGTATACCTCAGTTGCAAGACGAAGGTCTAATTTTTCTTTGGGTAACCGGACGCGCCATGGAGCTTGGTCGTGAGTGTCTTAAATTATGGGGATATGAACGAGTTGATGAGATAATTTGGGTGAAAACTAACCAGTTGCAACGTATAATACGCACAGGTCGAACCGGTCACTGGCTCAATCATGGAAAAGAACATTGTCTCGTGGGTATGAAAGGAAATCCGCAAAATTTAAATCGCGGTCTCGATTCTGACGTAATTGTGGCAGAAGTGCGGGCGACGAGCCACAAACCCGACGAAATTTACGGAATGATTGAAAGACTTTCACCAGGTACTAGAAAGATTGAATTATTCGGGAGAACGCATAACATTCAACCAAATTGGATAACTTTGGGGAATCAAGTGGATGGAATACGATTGGTGGATCCAGCCCTTATCGAGAATTTTAAAAAGATGTATCCAGATGGAAACTGTATGGTACCTCCACCCTCACCAGCAGTTATGTAATTGGTAATATAAAAAGACTTGGTGTTTCTTCAAAATTTTCATTATAAAGCCAATTCACTTTATTTTGATGAATCAAATCATTCAGTAATTTATAATTTTATAGAAAGTTATATTATTTTATTAATAACAGGCGCTCTGATACACTGGATTGTAAAAATGTGCACTCAATTCTGCTTTTATATGATAAAAACTTTTCTGTAGAATTAATATATTGCATTTAGATAAGCAGAAAAATGAGTTTGGGCTTATTTCCATTTAAATTGACTTTTATCCACTTCTGGCAAAAAAGGTTTCTAATTTTAAATATCATATCAAATATAAATTTTGGACAAAAACATTTCAATTGCATTAAAGTTATAATTCGGGGAATTTTCACCAATAAAAGAAAGAAGAAAATAGGAATCAATTAGAAAATACTTGCGACCGACGAATTGTTATTGTGTGCTTTTGAAAATATAAGAAGTGTAATACTAAGTAAAAAATTATCGATAGATTTAAATTACTACAAAAGAAGAATGAAATTAATTTTTTAATTCGTGTTTAAGAAAGTTCGTGTAAAAACAGACTTGAGTGTATTGTTGGGTAATCTCAAACGTTCTAACAGTTTTTTGGGGCGCTCTGTATATTTACAATTGTCATGTCAATAATAGAAATATTTATACATGTATCAGAATTGGCATCCTAGTTTCCGAACCTTTTGTGGAACGTTATCAAAAAATACCTGCTTACGATAACGTTTATTAGTAAATAATAAAAAAAACGATCGTGTTTCGTGTTCGTTTTTGCACAACTGTTAATAGTGTACGCTAATTTGGACATTATTCGACTTGAACATAAGAGCGTGTTTGGTGTAAGTTTTGTACTGTGCGCGAAACCAGATGATCGACAATCAGCTGTTCTTCGTTGACAGTTGTGAAAAAAGATGGCGACCGTCTGATTGTTCACAAACAAAGAATACGTATTAACTGAAGTGATTACCTTCAAGCAAAAAGTGATTTTAATAGTTTTTATTGCATAAAGGACCATTTCGACGATAGAATCAAAATGCTTGATTTGGAAATAGCCCCTGAACGTTCCTTAGGCTGCGAACACTGGGAATTTGTGTTGGGTAAGTAGGTTTAATAATTTGTATCTAATGCGTTTTATTTTTTGTTTGGGTGTTGTTTAATATAAAAACGCTTCCAATAACGCATACGATAACAACAAAACGTTGCGTTATGATAAAGTCGTTTTTATTTGCATTGGAAGTAAACTACAGTTCATATTGTTAACTAAATACAATTTTAATTGTACAATTGTTGATTTGTGATATGATATTGTTATTGATTTGCTTAATTATCTTTTGTTTTTTACTTGTTTCTTAATTATTTTTATGTTAATTATCCTCTTATACGAGGTGCGATCTAAATGTTTTGTCAACAAGTGTTTTACCAAAAAAACAAAGATGTCCTTTTTCAATTATAAAATTTTGATTTTTTAACAAAATGTAATTTCACTCGTTTATACCTATTATAAGTAAGTTCTTTTTAGGAATGCATTTTTCACAGTCAGTTGCAATTATTCAATCCCAAGTAGGCATTATCAAAGGTGTTCAAGTTCTTTACAATGACAGTGTAAGAATGAAGCATGGACATTCTGAAGTCTTTGTAAATAATAATCTACTGTAATCTTTCAGAATCCTCTCGACGTAGATCTTGTAATAAATTTACCCCAGGATGGTATACGGTTATTTTTTGATCCAGTAGCTCAAAGGTTAAAAGTAATAGAAATTTGCAATATGAAGTCAGTAAAGTTGAAGTATTGGTATGTTAAATAAAAATTTATCGACTTTCTAAGTTATTAAGTACCAAAATTTCGTTTCAGCGGGTCTTATTTCAACTCCCCCGAAGTACTGCCATCTATTGAGCAAATAGAGCATTCATTTGGAGCCACCCATCCTGGCGTTTATGATGCCGAGAAGCAACTGTTTGCGTTAAATTTTAGGGGGGTTTCCTTTTACTTTCCAGTAGAGTCCAAGTTTAAAACAGGCAACGCCCACAATATAGGTAAATTATAATCTTGGCTGTAGGTAATTTTAATATGTGTATTTAGTTGTTTTCACATAATTTGTTTTCCACCTTAGGGTCATTGCATTTTCCTCCCGGCAGTTCTCCGTTAGTTTCGCGCATGTCAATTTATTGTGGCCCTAATGTAGAACAGGCGACTGCTCCGGAACTTCCCTTATCTTGTTATTATGGTCAGTTGTATTTGAAGAAACTTGAAGTTATTCGAGAAGACAATTACACAAAAGGAATTAAACTCAATGTTACCGCAGGTAATATTTTTTTGTGATTAATCCAAATTATAAGTATGGGTAAAATCACATTTTGGTACAGGTGGAAACGCTCGCAGGGTCGAGTCAACAAAGTTGGTCTTTGAGAGAGAAGTATTGTTAGGTCATTCAGCGCAGGATGTCGCTTCTAATCTGGGTGCCCCTTCCAAAATTTTTTATAAGAGCGAGGATAAGATGCGAATTCACAGCTCCAATGCTCATCGTCGTGTGGCGCAGAGAAGAAGTGACTATTTCTTCAATTATTTCACTCTTGGCATTGTAAGTATCCACAAATGCATAAATCTTTTTAATCGTTTTCTTTACTTTTATTTGTGTTTCTTTTTACTCTTTCAACAGGATGTCCTCTTTGACGCCAGGGCACATGTAGTTAAAAAGATAGTCTTGCATACCAATTATCCTGGACATTATAACTTTAACATGTATCATCGATGTGAATTTCGTTTACCAATCGATGGACTCGAGATTACTGCCTACTCACGCTGGGAAGAACTTTGTAAGCAGCTGACTCCTAGTGAACGACCAGTGGTACTAAACAGGGCCAGCTCCACTAATACAACAAACCCTTTCGGGAGCACCTTCTGTTATGGATATCAGGACATTATTTTTGAGGTAAGTTTATATAATTTCCGTTGTACTTCTTTCTTCATAATGAGTATGTTGCGGTTTAACAATCGATCTCATTTAAACAATGCTCTCACAGGTCATGCCCAATAATTATATAGCGTCAGTTACAATGTATGGGGACGGACGACCGTATGAAACGTCAGAACATGCGTGACAGAAACTCTCGGCCACTTACCTCATTCTTTCAAACAGGTACTGGCAACCGTAATGTAATACTAAGTAATTATTGACGGATTTAAAAAATAAGTTGTACACCCATAATGTGTGTTCTCATTAGCACAGTAGTGGTAAATGTATGTTTATACTTTTTTGAGTGTACATCGTCAAAAGGAAAAAAATATGTTAAAATGTACTTGAAAATGTTACAAAAAATATTTTGTAAGTATTGTTTGCTTTTTGGTGAGGACTTCAGTTATAGAAAATGGACGAAAGAATCCCAAATAACGCAGAAAAAATTGAACGAAAACAAATTATTAATCTATGTTATTTTTACACTTAAAATTAGGTCTCTTAGGTAATATGTGATGAAGTATTTTTAAAAAATACAATAGTGAACCGTTTTTTCTAAAGCTGTCACTGTATTGTTGGATTTAATCCAAAAACATGACAGCAGTTGCAATATAGGTTTTATCATCATACTTGCAAAAAAATTGCAAGATGGAAATAGTCAATATGTGCAGAAAACAAAAATCAAAGCTATAGTGTGATTGTTGCAGATGTTTTGTCAAGGAAAATTATTATAAGAATGCCATTTTTTTTATTTATACTAATTTATTTTTATTTTAAGTATAAAACATGTTTCACCGTTCAATTAATGAATAAAAAAATAGACTAGTTAAATATTTAGTTAATTTGTAAATTTCATTGTGTTACTTTTACGTTGTGTACCGTGCATGCAGGCATTAAGTTCGATCTCACATGTTAAGTTGTACATATACTATTCTTATCTAATTTATAAAAAATAATTTTTACCTTTTTTGATTTTAAGAAAATAAACCATTTTACTATCCTAAAGATTTCTTCATGGCTGTTTTATTTTTACTAAATCAGAATCATTGATCTTTGGGAAAATTTGAACTGCCAGAATCTTCTAAAAAGGCATCAAGTTCTTCTTGGTTAAGATCCAACTGGATTTCTTCTAGTAAGGCAGATGGTTGGGATGGTTTTGATGACGGATCTAAAAATTACACTAATGAAATCACAAAACAAAAATAAATACACAAAAGAATAATGATTCATAAAGTTCCTGGTCTTGTAATAAAAGATTACTTACTTTGAGCATTGCCCTGTGTTCGGGCAATTTGTAAATCTTTCATGAACGCTTCTTGGTAAACTTTTTGCTTTTCTTCCAACATTTTCTTTTGCTGAAGCTGTGATGTCATAAATTTTTTGGCATGTTTGTTGGCAAAATCATTCCTTTTGATTTCAAGATTTTCTAAAAAAGTGAGTAAATAAATAAAGGCTATAAAAACAAGTCTTATAGGATGAAATGACTTTACCTAGTTTTCGTTCTTTATATAACATCAACTGCCTTTCATGCTCTAATTTCTTCTTTTGTAGTTCGTTTTTTTCAATCAAATCTTCTAATCCAATTAATGCTTTCTCAACACTTTCAAAGGAATTTTGTAAATCACTTATTTGGGAAACACAATGTTCCACGGAATCGTTTAAATTGGGTCTTAATACCAAGAGGTCGATTATAAAAGTTAAATTTTTATGATATAAGGAAACCTTAGTTTGCATTTTATCAATAACTACCGCGACCTTTTCGGCACTTTTTGCATTTTCTTCGCTTATTTGACGTAAGTCAAACCAGTGCTTACGAAAGTAAGTTAATATTTCAGAACCGGCATGAAGATTAATATCTGAATTGTTAGGTTCAGAAGTATCACTATCTGTACTTAGAAAATAAACAGATTTGCTAAAATCTAGAATTTTTTCTTTTATGTTTGAAAACATCTTTCACTTAAAAAATCACAATTCCAAAAGTACTTTTTCTACAATATTATCACATTACAAAACTATGAAAATGATTTACTTGAGCAACACAGTATTAAAAATATTAGATTTTGTAATTAAATAAAATAATAGCAATTACTTATCAATTCTATACTGCATCTTGATAAAATATTTTAAATGTGACGTTTTTCCGACATTTTGAAATATTGACACATGATAGGTAGTGTTTGCATAACCACAATCCTGCTTTTTATATCGTGATTAAATGATATTTTCCGTGACATCAATATTTTTGAAAATTTAAAATGTTTATCTATTTATTTTACAATTTTATTTGGCTATTAGTCGTATAAGAATAATAGAATATTACTGGCTTCTTATGATTCATAAATGTTTACAATCAATGTTATTAAAAATATAATAAGAATTTATCAAGTGTGTTTTGGAGAAAACAACATTTTACAGAAAATAAAAATGTCACATCAAAATGTTTTTTAGGCAATGATGAGTAAAGCTTATCATGAGTAATATAAAGCAGAGGTTAAAAAGTGCGTACGAAAATGTGGAATTTTTTGCAAACACAACTTGGTCTTGTTATGCTCAATCATATCAGAAAGCAAATCAGGTACACAATCATGTCCAAAACCTGTTCTAATACTTATAAATTTTGAATTTGCCACTATAATTTACATATATTTAAAAATTTATATTCGTACAGTGCATATATGCAACTTAAGAGACGAATGTTTTGCTGTTTGTTTGGTTGCCTAAAGATAATATTGCCAAGACCATTAAATAACTTTAAAAAACCTTTCGTAGCTACGCTAATGTACAAATTTCTAAAGTAACATTTCTACATCTTCAATAAACAAGATATTAAAATATTTCATTTTTTAAAGATAATTAAATTGAGGGTGTTGATAGGTAAATTCTTTTGAACAAAACGATGGGCTGAAGTGACAACTTTTGTTAATTTTACTCACATGTAAATTAAATTTTTAAAGGCATAATTAATTTAACTATAAACTTATGTATATTTATATATGTAATTAACACTTAAACTATCATGGCAATAATTACGTTAAATTTTCAAAACAAAATGGTGAAACTAAGATCAACGTCATTTTTTGAATAATAGCTTATGTGAAAGTTAAAAAAAAGAATTTTTAGTAGTTACTTATATAAAAGAAAAGTTGGATATTATCTAATGTCAAATGGCACCATATTTTAAACGTTAAACTCTCCCTCTACACTCAATGCTTGCAGACTGCAGAGAGATACGTATTTGTCGAAAAGAGTAAGAAACTTCGTCTACCATCGATGATGCCACATGGCTTTCTTTTTTTAAATTTAAATTTAAGTTACCCATGTTACCAAAGAATGTACCTAGCGCATTTATTAATGACCTTGTATTCTTACGGCAATCACATGCACATTTTTTACGTTGAACGTCTTTCAATTTGAAGGAATTGTATGCTCGGGAGCAGAAAGTTCAAGAGAATTTGATGAGCCAAAAACCGTACCCGAGGACCGTCCAGGAATGTATCCCCCAGAGTCGTTTGGCGCAACTGTGCAACTTCGAATACAACGATTCCCGGGAAATATCGTACGCTTCGAGCGTTAGCGACATAAACTTCTACTATCCGTGTATTTATAAAAGGGGAAGCTGCGTGGAACCGTGGATGCTACCGGAAACCGAGCAGCTTTTTGTCTGGTTCGCACACTCACAAAACCTCGGAACCATCGATTCGTCCACATTCGAACTGAACCATTTGGACGAACCGTCGAAAAATTTAGAACAGATTGACGATTTTCACAAAATTAACGCGATAATGCACGAAAATATCGAAAAAGCTCCCGGGGAGTTTAGGTATACGTCGGCCAAACCTCTAAGTGAAGATGATCTGACCAAGTACAAACCGGCACTCTTCAAGGTCGACACATTTGATGAGATGATTCTCAAAATGCAAATAAGTCTAGGTACCTATAACATTTTAATACCTATAATGAATTAATACCTTGAAATTTTTATAATTATAAAAGGTCAAACACGCGAATAAAAACAATGATATACCGACTTCATTAGGGTATCCACACCTCCTTTTTTCCTATCTTTAGCCAATTTACGCTTTTCTCGAAAACTATAGCAGCCTAGGGATCGTACCCATACTACGTGACCCACTTTTTTTCCCCCTCTTCCCCTCGTTGACCACCCGTAGTATATGTCAAGATCCCCCACCCCTTCTAGTTTTCACGTAGTAATTCATAAATATGATTTTAAATCATTTTTTTCAAACAGAAAGTTTTGAATATAACTCGAAAAAGCTAGAGGATATTGATTACGTGACGAAAAACTAAGACCCCTCTCCCTGTAAACCAAGCGTGATACTTTCGAAGGCCTCCTTCCCCCACGTACTATGGCTACGTTCCCTTACATTCCTAACTATTTACGAATAGTAATATAAGGTTGTTCGGAAAGTCATTTCGTTTTTTCCCGACAGAGGATTTAATTGTATTCTTTTGCACCCAACTTCACATTTAAGCCGTATAATTTTTATATGCTTTGAGAGCTCATATAGCAAGGCTTGTGTGTGAAAAATTCCAATTAATTCTACGCAGTAGTTTTTGGTTGGTGCCCTTTTAAATATGGAGAGCGATAAGCAGCATTTTCGACATATCTTACTGTTTTACTACAGAAAGGGTAAAAATGCTGTTCAAGCCAGAAAGAAATTGACTGATGTGTATGGAGAAGGTGTGTTGACAGTACGCCAGTGCCAGAACTGGTTCGCTAAATTTCGATCCGGCAATTTTGATGTCGAAGATGCACCACGTTCGGGAAGGCCGGTTGAAGCTGATAAAGACGCGATAAAGGCATTAGTTGATGTGAACCGGCGAATAACAACACGTGAGATCGGATTGAGGTTAAATTTATCAAATTCAACAGTTTATGACCACTTGAAAGGCCTGGGATTATCCTCGAAGCTCGATGTATGGGTTCCCCATGTTCTCACAGAGAGAAATCTGTGTCGCCGCATTGACGTCTGCGATTCGCTTCTCAAACGTCACGAAAATGATCCGTTTTTGAAGCGCATCATCACTGGGGACGAAAAATGGGTTGTATACAACAACGTCAAACGCAAGAGGTCATGGAGCAAAAAAGATGAACCGGCTCAAACCATTTCCAAAGCCGATATTCACCAAAAAAAGGTGATGCTGTCTGTTTGGTGGGATTTTAAAGGAATCGTTTTTTTTGAGCTTTTACCGGATAACACAACGATTAATTCGGAAGTCTACTGTCATCAGCTGGACAAACTGAATGATGCACTTCAACAGAAAAGGTCAGAACTAATCAACAGGAAAGGTGTAGTGTTTCACCAAGACAACGCGAGACCTCACACAAGTTTGGTCACTCGCCAAAAGCTTTTACAGCTTGAATGGGATACAATGCTACACCCACCATATTCTCCAGACCTGGCACCATCGGATTATTATTTGTTCCGGTCACTCCAAAATTTTTTAGACGGTAAAACCTTCACCTCAAATGAGGAGGTCAAAAACCTCCTCGATCAGTTTTTTGCCAGCAAAGACCAAAAATTTTATGAGCGTGGAATTATGCTACTACCAGAAAGATGGCAAAAGGTGTTGGACCAGAACGGTCAATATATAATTTAATAAAGTATTTGTTTATTATACGAAAACTGTCTTTCATTTCCACAAAAAAAAAACGAAATGACTTTCCGAACAACCCTATAGTAATAGCTAAGTCTACCTTTGCCCCTTTAATTCCTAGTATGTCTCTAAGTAGCTTCATGCCTGAGAAGGTGTCCTATCAACATATCTCGTCTATTATTAATATCCATAACGCCCTTTGTTCACCTACTCTTTCTAATATCACCTCATCTATAAACTTTTCTATTCCGAAGTACGTATAAAATAAGGTAATGAAATCTTAATTGTTTTTCAATACTTCAGAGAAAGTAAAAAAAATCTGGGATGAAGATGACAACAATTCGAAAAATGTTAACGTTGAATCGTCATCAGAAAAACAACTGAATATTTTCAAATCACCCCTCGGAAATTTTATAGTATTCGACAATTCACCACAGTCTAAAGTTAAGACCGAAAAAAGTAGTTTGGATCAAAATGAAGCAGTGCATATATGCAACTTAAGAGACGAATGTTTTGCTGTTTGTTTGGTTGCCTAAAGATAATATTGCCAAGACCATTAAATAACTTTAAAAAACCTTTCGTAGCTACGCTAATGTACAAATTTCTAAAGTAACATTTCTACATCTTCAATAAACAAGATATTAAAATATTTCATTTTTTAAAGATAATTAAATTGAGGGTGTTGATAGGTAAATTCTTTTGAACAAAACGATGGGCTGAAGTGACAACTTTTGTTAATTTTACTCACATGTAAATTAAATTTTTAAAGGCATAATTAATTTAACTATAAACTTATGTATATTTATATATGTAATTAACACTTAAACTATCATGGCAATAATTACGTTAAATTTTCAAAACAAAATGGTGAAACTAAGATCAACGTCATTTTTTGAATAATAGCTTATGTGAAAGTTAAAAAAAAGAATTTTTAGTAGTTACTTATATAAAAGAAAAGTTGGATATTATCTAATGTCAAATGGCACCATATTTTAAACGTTAAACTCTCCCTCTACACTCAATGCTTGCAGACTGCAGAGAGATACGTATTTGTCGAAAAGAGTAAGAAACTTCGTCTACCATCGATGATGCCACATGGCTTTCTTTTTTTAAATTTAAATTTAAGTTACCCATGTTACCAAAGAATGTACCTAGCGCATTTATTAATGACCTTGTATTCTTNATATAAATTTTTTATTTAAACTTTTGAAGTATTAGTTTATCTATTGTCGAATAACCGTCACCTTGGTTGTATACATTATTTAATTAAGAAATTTAAGTCAGTGAGTTACATTATTACATCTTTGTGCAATTATTTAAACTCGTTTGCAACAACGATGATGGCTCATAACTGAGCGCAAAACGCTGGTATGTGGTTTCGCATTAGTAAAAAAGAATTCTGCCCCCCAAAAACAACATACAATATTCTTGTTAAGCGTGCTGAAATCGAAGAGGTGTAAGTCTTTTTAGTTTAAATTTTGATGTCAAAATCGCTCAAATTTTTTATTATTTATTTTGTTAGTATCGAAATTTTTTTGTTGATGATTATTTCACCGTAATATTTTATTTTGCAGGGACTTCATAGAAAACAGGAATTACACATTTTTCTAATATGATGACACACTTCCACGATTAAAAACCGTAAAACATTTACATTTGTAATAGCGTTTAATCGAGTTTGCAAAATAGTCTTGTTAATCATTTCGAAAAAAAAATAATAATTCTGTAGATGTTAGCGGATGCAATCAAGCCGTTACAGCTTATGATGGAAGAGAAAGGATCTCTAGATGACAATCTGGTGCCTATGCTCAACGTTAACATGGAAGAAATGGCCAGCCCAGCGAAACCCATTAATCTGCCTGCACGTCGTCTGTATTCTGCCGTTGTTCAAGGTCTCTATTGCGACAGTCACGCCCCAAACAGGGTCGAAATAATACCTCTCGCCCCCCACAACATCGCTAAACACAAAGAGCCATCAGTGGCCTATTCAGAGAACACGGGCCGGAGTATTTTCCCCATTGACGTTCCGATAGTTGATCGCGATTCAAAATCGACGTTCACGATAAACAGGAAGACGAGTCCAATTTCACAACCCGCTCCTCCGAACTACTGGTTGGCCCAAGAAGAAATTCAAACTTACGATCACGGAAAACCCAACATTACCAACGAATCGGCAAATCGAAGTATCGACGATAACTGCAACAGCAGCATCAGTTCGAGTCGATCGAATTTTACGAAGGTTTCACTGAAGGAGAGGCAGAAGGCAGACGCGGCTTCGTTTAAAACCAACAACAACAACAACAACAACAACAATTCCGATTGGAATTATTCGTTTAGTGATCTCAAAGATAACTTCATCAACGAAAATCAGTACAACGTTCCCTTCTCGTCTGCGAGTAAATCAGTTAATCAATCGAATTACTCTTCTTCGTGTAACTTTTTCGGAAACGACAGCTTGTCGTCTACAGTGAATCCGAACAATCGACCGATGGGAGCAGCTGCTGGTTACAGCGACTGTTCGTATGCCAACGTCAATAATAATAATAATACTAATAATAATAGTCAATTCAACTGCTCTTCGAATTTATTCAACCAGGTGCCAAGTAACACCCTTTTCGGTTATTCCTTGGCCGACACAAACTTGTACGGGAACGCTGCAAATCAAAACACCACCGCCCTTGCCCGGAACGCGTTTCCTCAATTCCTCCGTCAAAACTATTGCGTTTCCCAGCAGCCGCAATCCACATGGATCACCCAACGATTGTCTCACATTTGCAACGTGCCCCAGTACCAAAATCAACCCTACATATTCATGAACCCGTCGGCAATAAGATCGAACACGCGATGGAACCAGAATCAACAGTTCATGCGATCGTCGTTGTCGCAACCGTATCATCACGTTCTCCTCAATTCCCCTCAAACAACGACCACGACGCCACATTGGAGCACCCAGATGTGCAGTATTTGTAGGGGACATTCGATCCATAAACCGTCCTCTCCCCCCATGCAGTATTACGAGAACGCATCAACGTTCCAGAACAATCGAATCAAACTCAAACAAAAAAAGTATTTCCCCGGCAACGTCTCGGAGTCTCCCAGGAGTTCGTCGTTGTCCTGGGCGTATCCTCCCACTTCGGATAATAACGACAAGGAGAAGCGGAACGTGTGGGAATGCAAAAGATACGGGAGTAATTCCGGCAACGTCGGACCAACCACCGAGTCCGAGAAAAATCCGTTCATAAAAACGGCCGTGTCAAGTTCCGTTTTGGAAAGAAGCCTAAAGGTGGACAAGATCGAAGACGAACTTCAGAAAAGCGCTTCGACGTTGGCAATAGCCGCTTCAAATTTGAACCTGAAGCAGGAAGAAGTTTTGCCCGTCAGGAAAAGTGTTTCGGAAGAACTGGAAAAACTAGCGCTCGAACAATATCAGAGGTCATCTCTCAATCTCATTAAGAGCACCGACAGTTTCTATCAAGACATGGAAAGACAGGCCAAAGAACAGTACGAAGGAGCTCCGGAAAACTTGATGAGCCCCCCGAACTATAACATTTTTATATTCGGGGGGCTTGCGCCACATTTTCATCCAGAACCTCATCTCGCAATCACTTTGAATATGATACTTTATTGATGTCAGTATAAATAATTCATACATGTGTGTATAAATAAAGAGTTAATATTTATTTAGTTTTAATTGACGGTCCAGTAAAATTCTATCAACTTTTTATTGTTTCAATTTCATTTTATGAAATCGCAAACAAATTGGTTTTTCTACCACCTATTTCTAGATTTTCAGCTTTGATTAGAGATCTGAAAAGATTTCAGGTAATTTTCCAATAAGATTCAACTCAAACATTGTTCCATTACAAGCAGGTTTCAAGTGAGTACTTAAACATAGTCAATATTTTATTCTATTGCATCATTACAAACAATCATGTCGTATCTTCTTTTGAAAAATACGACGTGATAGAAAAATCCATCTTTTTATAGAGAATGACAGGAAATTGCTCGTATTTCTCTTGAGAGAAAAAACTATCACTAAATTAGAATAATTTAACCTCTACCACTTAGGAGTCGGAAAAGCGATATTTTAAAATCTACTTCGATTTTCAAAATGTAACACATGTATTAACATATGAGTCAGAATATCGGCAAAAAGTTTAAAAATAGAAACCAAACACATCAAACCTATAAAAACTTGCCCCCCCCCCCTAGGAAAAAATTTTTGATACGCCCATGTAGATTACGGAAATTTCTAACCAAAACTTTCTTATTAAATTTTTAACTCCCAAATTCGAAATTTTGTACTAAGAAAACCGAAGTAGATTTTCTTGAAAATGGTGCATTTCGAACCTCCAAGTGATAGAGGTTAAATCATTCCCACTGGTCCAAGTGGCAACTGCCAACCCCCCTGCTCCAGTGTTGTTAAATGTAAAAATGTAGCAACCTGTGTATTTGTGATTTGTAGCAATGTTTGATTGAACCATGCAATGATCATGAACTACGACACTACTGTTTTCGAAGCAATAGTACCAAAATTTTTGTCCTAATAAAAATTTGAAAAGTCTTGTATTCAATCGTAAAAACGGCATTTCTTTCATAGACATCAGTTACAAAGGTATAAAACAAGCAAAATAATGAAATGAGTTTCGAAACGTTACGAACATTTTCTTGATAAAAAGTTTAAAAAAATACAAGTATCAGCACTTTTACAAAAAAAAATGTTAATAGATTGAAATGTACAGTACATTCACATTTGCATGACAAGAACGAACAAAGGTAAAATTTAAAAAATTTCAAATGAACCTCACTTGATCACAGGCTTTTAAAAACTAAAATAATTATTTATAAATTTTCACTGAAATCTGTTGTACTCTATGGGATGACCTCCCTTATAAGTTGAAAAAATGTTCAAACTCCGGTTTAAATAGAAAGATTACGTCTGCTATCTCAAACTTCGATATCGATTTTTAGAAAGGCTAACAAGACTTATTAGGAGACCGAAAATGTGCTCCACAGTACGGCTTCTAGTTCTCCTGCATTAACTCACGGAATTGAGGGGTTGGGCAATGTTCCCGCTGTGCACCCTGAATCTCCGCATCCCTACAAATCCCTTATCCCTAGGACAACTTCGACCTCGCCTTCATTGATTGCTCGTCAACTTGAATCCCCAACATAACATACTATATGTAAACGTGGAATACATAACACATATAATTTATTTTATTTGAATCATTTATGAAAAAGGTGTTGCAGAGGGTAGTAAACCATTAACGTTATTACTGCATTACGATTAAAACCACTCTCCCCAAAAACCTATACTTTAGTAATTGACAATAATAGTAAAGACAGTTACATAAAATAAAAATTAATATTCTATTCGCTATTTGAAAAAAATATAAGATAAAAATTACTAAATTTTTAAGAATTTCTTGCAACGAATTCTATTAAATTTTTAATTATGCAGAGTATTCCAGTTAGGTAATCAACAAAATATAATCGAGTGAAACATTAACTAAATAAACAGTTAAAACCCATTTTCCAACTGAGGATGACATCTTGGGTGTCGAAACGCGTCTTAGGGATCGAAACGTTTTGTAGAATTTTTGGTTTTAAATGTTTATTACAATTAGTGTATTACGTTTATATTTCATAGGTAGCTATTATGTCAATTTTTGAAAGCATCATGCGATTTTTTAAATGTCATGTTTCCGAATGAAATCAACGAGACGCCACTGAGTTATGACTATCAGCAAGTTACAACTGCTTTTTGACTCGATCAATTGCTTATAAATATTACCCTTGAATTATCAAATTCAACACGTATATATTATTAATATATTTAGTATTTACTGATATGGATATATCTGTTATGTATTTGTTTGATTAAACTCCGCATTAATTAATAAATGGGTCAACCTTTTTGGTGTTATTGTAATCAACACTCAACTTCGATTTATAGTCGGTCTCCCCTTTTTAAGACAACATGGACTCGTCCAGAGAGAGATTGCTTTTTATGCCAAGTGGCACGCCTTCTCCCACTAGCGGTAGTCCCATAAATAACTACCCCCACCACTTCAGTTACAGACGGGACGACGGGGACTAAGTCCGGCGACAATGGCAAGAGATTTTGATTAAAAAAAACCTGTCATGAAAACAGGAAAAGACAGACATTATGTATGTATGTAGCAATAAAACCGTCATAAATTCTGTACTGTAAACATGAAATGGTTTTTGAACATGGGTAATACCTACAATACCTTGGCAATTAGTACGCATTTGTTTGTTTATCTCTGTTTTCGGAGTTTCTTAATCTACAAACAGCCACTTTCTACCTACTCCCAAACTGACGCAATAACTTGAATTGAGGTTTTATTGTTTGAAAAAGCAGGTCAATGACATCTCAGTTCCCCTCTGAGGTTTGAGTTGACAAATCCAATAATACAAAAGGCAATTTCCGTCATTAATCATTTACCTCGCTCAGGAGAATCGTACATATTACACGTTATCTCATTTATAGTCATTTACAACGTGTTCACTATAAAATAATACTTAATACTTTAACACTAATAACAGAGAGTAATAACCACTTTTATACAGTCGAGTTAGAAAAAATAGAACGGTTAGATAAGCGTAACACAGAAAGTTAGATAAATCAAATGCAATTACTACATTTAGTTTAAAATTTTTATATGAATGTCAAAAGAAATAAAAAATGCAAACTTCGTCGTTTTTTTTACTGCAACTCTCTGTAATTTATTGTTAGTGTTTTTGGTAAATGGTAGTTCTTGGCTTAAGAAGGAATAATATTAAGGGATGAAGATTTTTAGAACTACAAACAACATTCACCTGGTACAAAGGATTGTAAATAAATATTACAACAAAAACATCTGTTGCATTTTGAAAACTTTTAATACTTATTTCTTAAAATAATAATAGCAGTTTTCTAAAAAAAAAATAAAGCTTTATCTAAACTCACAGACAATTAATTATGTGACATAAAAACAAAAAAATTTGCGTCGTAATTGTAGACTTGTTCCAATTGAGATAAAGTCATAATTTATCGGTCAAGTCCTTATTTAGGTAGATTAGATTACAAATTCCTAAAGACAAGTTTTATTAAGACAGGACTGTAAAATAGGTAAGTAACAAAATTTACAATTAAAGTGAGTACGTGTCAAGTATCACTCCAGATATCAGATTCAATAAAATCAGCAGTATCAACACAACAATTGTTAAGATACGAATTCAACCGACAGTCATAAATTGATGAAAAGTAAGTACCCAACATAAACAATGGGAACAAATAATTAAGTACCTAAATTATTGTCGAAGCCTGTGGGATTTGCCACTGCGTGATGGGGATGGTGATCCTGACAACTCCCCCCTCTCTTATACTTGGTAGATTGAGTACTATTGGCCGTAACACCGATCAATAAAAGAAAGCCGCCAATGGAAGTTGAGGATGTATCTTTAGAATTTTTATTTGTCATTGAATTAAGTTTGGAAAATTGGAGATTTATAAAATCGTTTGGGATATGAGAAAAATACTAAAAATATTCGGCAAATAGGTTGGTACCCGCTTATTCATTTTTGCATTTATTAATTTGTAAAAATTTGCTAAAAAGCNATCCTAATGTTTGTAATCTTAATGGTATAGGTGCTAGCTCAATACTAACACTGGGACCTGTACGGTCATTGCCTAGAGCGACACCCCCAAATGGTAATACGAATTTAGGAAAGTAAAGGGAAGTCAGTTTTAGAAAAGTAATGTACAGTTATTACAAGATTTTAAGAAATCAATTACGTAACAAACATTTTCGTAATTGACGAAAGAAATTTTATAAAATAATATATGCAAGTGTGTTAAATGAGTAAGCGTATGCATTTCTTTTCTGAAATACAGCAATTCCTAAAATTAAAGATTTTGTGTAAAAATGTCCTTTTTTATATTGAATGTTGTTGTTTTTAATTTAACAGTAATGATGACTGATTTTTTTTGTGATGATAGATGATAGGTTCCTTTGTCTGATCTATAACTATCATTTATTTTTTGCTTATTGTTAATTTTAGGTAGGTAACAAGAAATAAAAGCTTCCAATAATTCTAAATACTTCATTTCTAATTTTTTTCTAAAGCAAAAATAAATTACGTAGTTTGCTGCGCCACTGGTCAAACCAAGATTTCTTAAATATTCCGAACATAACATAGTAAGTCAAATAAGATGTTTAAATATTCTTATTGACGCTTCAATAACGAAATGATTATGAGTAGATCGCGTTGGGATATTGCATTCTGGAATAAATTTAACGTCTCACATAGCGAAAAAAAAACCCGTAGTGAAAGCAGCACGAAAAGAAAAAAATCAATGGCTTGTCATGTTTTTTAAACCAGAAGTATAGTGTTGCTAGATGGGGAGTCGATTTATCGTTAGATTACAAAGCGTACCACTCACTCAACAAACAAGCAAGGCATCGTCATTATTATTATTACTGCTATACTTATCGTTAGCAGCGCTGTGTGGTATTTCAGAACGACTACGATAATAAAAATGTGTTGCGCTGTCGGTTTCACGTGCCGCTGAGTTGCCAACCAGAGAACCGAAACACTCAAGTGTTTCAGCAAGCGAGGTCATAGCATGATTACCCATTAGCCGGTTGCTAAGCAACGTCACGTAGGCCACAGCTGCAGCCGAGTCGGAAGACTATCAAAACTGTTTTCCATATTGAATAACCGTGACTCGGCATAGGCTTGAAGCTTGAAGCTATAATACAATACAATACAATGCTATTGCTTCCACGTTGTTTGTTATGACCTCGAATGCTTCAAAATAAGGATCAGTTATCACCTCACTAATACGCAACGCATTAATTAAAACCATGTTTGTTGTTGATAACAGGCACCATTTTTTATTTATTTCCAGGGATTTGCTTAACTCGCTAATATCTTAATTGACGTAAATTATATTAAAAAATTCCCTAATTGATCTATACTCCAGTATCTACTCATCACACTTAAACACCTAGCTATTTGCAGAAACAAAAGAGTTGTCGTAAAAAGTAATGGAAGTTGAATATATTTATAACAGTGTTTGAGGGAAAGGGGGAGTAGAGTAAATAAATACCCTGAAACACAAGTTTCAAAAAAGAAAAGTTATAATCCGTTAACACTTAATGTACTGTATAATGGGTAATACTTCACAGATACAAAGGGAAAAGTAGTTAAAATTCTATTTATATTGAGTAGACGTTAGTGTGAACACGTGTTGAAGCGCTCCCAACACTGGCGATACGGTTTATAGAATACATAATAACTTGGAGACATTTGACATATTTATTGCAGTTATATCTTGTTTAATTAAGAAATTAAATTAGTTATCTACTGCGTTTTAGAATTCCAGTAAAAAAACAGTTATTGATAGTACTGTAATTATTGCAACAATGACCAAATAATAAAGAATTTTCATTATATTTTACTAACTGTTATACTACTAAAACTATTTACTTCAGGGGTCACACTTCTGATTTTCATGAAATTTTAGTGCCTATGTTGTATAATGTATAGTTTAGAGTGCTAACCATTCCTTTGGATAATTACGACATGACAGAAAAAACATCACTTCGTTTGTGCTGCCTTTTCCTACCCGAGACTTTAGAATCCTAAGCAATCAAAGTATTATTCGATAATTAGGTAGGTAAAGACAATACGAACGAAAGGAGTGTTATTGCCCTGTCCTTTTCTATGTTTGAAGGAATGTAAACTAAAAAATCTTTACTTTTTGTTGATTTTGTTACCTATGTCTTGGATTTGGTTGTCAGATATGTGATTGCTAAAGTAAACAATAATTTAGCAACAAATTGCAAAAAAGATGAATAAATCATTCAAAATTACACTGCTAAAAAAACAAATTGTGTTTACGAAAAAAAAAACAATAAACCTTAGCAGTTTATTCTGTAGGTTATTAATCATCAACTATGATTATTAAGCGATATCATTAGTATGAGGGATAGGCGCAGTAGTTCGAAAGTAAGAAACCTATAGTAGTTAATGTACAGACATTAATTATATGTTTCCCATGATATACATCGGCTATGTGCCTAAACATACCTTAAAATTAAGCATTTGTTCACCATTTGAGAAAAACATGCGAAACTTCAATTCATGTTCAGTCACGAATATGAATAGGAAAACTTGAACTCAATACAGTAAGCCAACTGTACAGTGGTATGTAAACCCAATAAGAAAACAATAAAATAGACGGACAACCCAACTCAACGGCAATACCATGACGGTGACTATCCGCCTGCATAAATTAAAGCTTTCAGTAACGGTTTATGACCCGAACACATTTGTGTTCAAGGTTTTCTGCGTGTCCCATTATACCTACGACTCAACGTTACTCCAAGAAAATAAAAAAAAAAGCTATCGGAGGCAAGTTTCAATGTTCCACACTTCCCCTCACAAAGTGAGTTTCGTAGGTTTCGTGTTTCCCCCCTTTTTACAGATAACATACACACACACCAAACGGTTCAGCGTTGTCGGTCTTCCCCTACCTACAGCCGGTAATGTCGAGCAAGTCATTCGCTGGTTTCTAAACCCCTCATATACCCGCCTTTCCCCAAGTTTCATTGCAACCGGTGTGTGTCTACTACAACTACGCTGTGAATAGCAGGCGAAGTCCTCAGCTAACTGCGACAAAACGTTGAGACGTGCAACTAACGCAACTGTGAAACAGACATAGCTAGCGTAGCTGTGTGCTACTAAAATATACCTACTTAGAAAGTTTGCGTGCGGTTACTTCGTTACAGTGTTGTTATAATATAGTTTTGATAGTAACCGCAGTTGCATATTTAACTATAATTCCTCCAAAAAATTAGTTAACATTGTCGCTCAGTTGTTGTTTGTCTTCGCCGATTCTTTAGAGTTTGTTTTATGACTTCAACTGTCAACGATGCTTGTAAGTACAATAACGAGTACGAAACACTGTTTGTTTGTTTGTTTAACCGATTAAGTACAATACTGTTATCGCTCATTAAATATATAATAGCAGTGTATCTACAGTAACTTTACAATTTTTGAAATAATAATGTTTCGCGCGCTTATCATTTTTATAACTTATTTAAATAACAATACGCTAAGTAAAGTTAGTAACCAGAATTTTAGTAAACAGCATTAGTAAGTTGTCAGTGGCGTAACGTCAAGTTTGTCAGTTAATTTATTTTCAATATGAACTAATGGACTACGTTAATGCGACCATATTTTTTCAAGTACACACAAACAAATTTAAAGATAATCCATTTAATTACTAATTATGCTATTAATTATTTTTCTTATTTTAGTTTAGTCAATTCAAGTCAGCGATAAAAAATTAAGTGATATTTCATTTTAAATAAATGAATCTGTTGTTTTAAAAAGAAATATTTGAAACCTATTAGGTACTTCTTTGATTTTTAAAAAAATTAAAATACTTTGTTATTAAATTTTACCAAATAATTTCAATTCTGGAATATAAGTCCTAATTATGACTTACTTTTGAATTGAATATATTTCAATATACGGTAAATAAGTAGGTAATATGAAAGATGTAACATCTAAAATTAATTGACAGTTACAGTTCAATAAATTACTTATTTGCAAAGAACTTTTACAACTCCCGCAGTATTTTCCAATTTTTAATAATTACAGGTGCAAGATGATCATGGAAGAGTCTACGTATTCGTTTAGTAACTCGAAAGGTAGATACATTCGTTAATTATAATAATAATTTGTTTCTTGACATTTTTTGTGTATTTTAGAAAATTTAAATAACGATCGTTCTGGTGAAGAAGAACAATTAGTTTGTAAGGATTGCGACGCTCTTTTTACATCTAAACACCACCTCCTCAATCATCTTTTACATCACATTAAACAGCCCCGTGTTGCCTTACAACGTTTATACCAAGTACCGACACCACCCTTAAAAATTACCCTTAAAAGCAAAGACAACAATTCTTTCGAGGTGGTTCGATCGCCTCAATTAACAGACGTAACTGCTGAGGAATACTTCAAACTGCACGATACACCGCCATCCTCCATAAAGGAGGAATTCGAGCCTACCACGAACGAAACCGAAGGTTCGGAACCTCCTGGAGAGGGAGAAACCTCTCCCCCATCGGAGGACAATCAAAACAAGGAGAGAGGCGAAGAAATTCCTGAAATAAATTACAATGAAGATGAAGAACTGCCAGACGATGGAGAGCATACAAATGAAGAAGAAACCAAGGTGACTTTTTCACCAAATTTCGCTAAAGACATTGATTCATGGCCTGCCGAAAGCGAAACCAATGAAGAGCAAACACAAAAAGAAGATGCAATCGAGTCGAATAAGGGAGAAACGTTGGGGTCAACTACACCAGACATGATTCCTGGAGCAGAACCAACTCCACCACCTGAACCAGTGGAGTATCCCAAAATTAGAATAAAGACAACGGGATTGCTCAAAGAATCATTAACCATCACTGAAATTACTGACGACAACAATAGTTTTCGACAATCTGGTAAGAATAATATTTTCTGATCTTCCAACCAATTTGAAACTTATTAAGTTTCAGCAAGAATATTTACCTACAAATAGCATAATAAATATTGCACTCCATTTATGGAAATACTTTTGGATGTGTGTATTCGATGACTATTTTATAGTTTCCACTATTTTTGTTTCAAATACGTTGCCTGTATTTTAAAGTCAGATGTTTTTTATTTTTCAATTACTTCTAAATTATTGTTAGTCATATGTGCTATTCACAAGGCAAATTAAAAGCTTCCCCCTTTTTTGAAATTTTGTTAATATAGCTTTGAAGCACAATCTAATCGGTTTGAAACATGAGCGTTCACGCATGTCTGACGAAAGTACAGGGTGTTACCGAAACATCGATAATAAAAAGAGTGAAGATAGGTATACCAAAAATAATAGTTTTTCTTATTACATTTAACATAAATTTAAAAATAATAATATCACACCGTAAAATTATACTAATCGTAAAGAAATCGTAGGTACAACGTCTTATTATACATAGTACCTTCCTAACATACCTGTATGTATGTGCAAGGCTTTAGTTTTGCAAAAATGAAAATGGTTTTCACGTATACATAACATTATTAATTAAGCATACGTAGGACATACAAAGCGGAGACAATTTGCCTAAAAAAATTTTAGGTATCATGACTTTAACGACAATATGTACTTATTATTTTGATTTCAAATTTAGTTTTAAATATATTTTTGAGAATATGATATACCTAGAATTTTAAAAATGACGCAATTGTCATAACGAAATAACTGAACAAGTTTTAAGTTGTAGCACTTACTTTGTACCGCCATTAGAAGAGAGGTAGAAGTTCCATACGCTTCCATACTGCAACTTCACAGATTTATTCGTTAAAAAATTATTACACTAACCACTTTTATTACACATTTTAATCAATATACGTAGTTTAATCGCACAACAGATTAATCACTTCGTACTATAGTCAAAAAACCGATCAACATTATGCAACGTTTTAAATTGAACAATCACGAATGCCCTTACGAACCATTGCAACTCTCCCGTATTACTAACGTGTAGAGAGTAGAAAAACTTACATGCTGCCGTTTTATTTTAACTTTTTGTATTTGCTAGTGTGGTATTACTTGGTTTAAAAAATTTGGTAGTTTGAATGGCTCGATACATAAAGAACTACTTAAATTTAAATCTCATATTATTGTATACATTTATTACCCACAATGGTAATTGTTTATTCCCACGATTTAATTGTTTTTATCTTTTTATTATAAAAAAGTCAAATTTTTTTGTTAATTGATAACATAACCTAAACTTTAAAACCGGTATAAATAGTTGAAATATGTGTAAAAATTCTTAACACTGACTAGCAATATTGTAAACATTTTGCTTTTTAGTTATAAATAACTAAAAACATATTTATTCACAAAATGCTTCTTAGTCAATTTAAAACCAGCGGTTTTATTTTAGAAATAGTGGATGTGAATCGTGAAAACCATGGGGGAGGGCAGGAAGTATGGCCTACACCTTCTTTGGAAGACCCTTTAAGACTTCCAGAAAACAGTGAAAAAGATGACGGAAATATTTTGACAACATTTTTAAACAGTAATAACGATAAAGCCAAAGATTTTGGGTTGTCTTCCAGTGATAGCGAATTTATATCATTAGATCGATTAGATGACAGGAACAGAAATGCTTTGGTAAGTTCCTTTTTGCAGTTTCAGTTAAAATAAAAAAAAAATGTTTCTAATTTTTAGCAAGTATACAATCCTCAAAATTCAGTCCAGAATTCCTTAGAAAGCTTAACGGGCTTGCCTATGCAACAACTTGCACAGCAGGTGTCAAGATTGCAACCCAGTGGTAGTAATAATGGAATGCACCAACAAAATGTTCTGATCAACATACAACAGTTCCCACAAGCACCTCCTCAGCCTCCTCCTCACAGTTACCAACCACCCCCAATGTACCCTCCCCATCCGGGAATGCAGCCACCGATGTATCAACCATATCAGTACCAGTAAGTTCCTGATTTACATTAATCATTCTTTGATACATACTTTAGGGTGTGTTAAAATGAGGTTTTTCTTCTATTTAGGTTGATAAGTAATTGATCACAAGAAAAGTATGAGAGTAGGGCGCTATTTAAAATTAAGTAATTTCCAAAACGTTGCTCTTAAATAACTTATTTTACTAACTATATTTTAGGCCCAACATGTACTATCCACCGCAACCGAATTACCCAAGTCATCATATGCCTCCCCCACCGCCAAATCAAATGCAACAACCACCTCAACCACAACCTCCTCCCACGTCTCAGATGCAGCCGATGACTACACAACCCATGCATCCCAATCAACCGTCACAATATAGACAACCGGTCCCTCAAAGAGCCCCTGCACCAAGACAATATGGCCCTCAAACTACAAGAGGTCCTGCCCCACCACGCCAACCAATGGCTACTCGCCAGAGAGCGCCTACAATGCGACCTCGAGTGGCAATGAACACCACAACGTCGTCGGTGAGAGGACCGAGGCCCAGGATTCCTGGTCCTACATCAGGGCCAAGACAAGGGCTTGTTCAAAACAATCAACAAGGCAACAGGGTTATTAAGAGGTCGCCGGAACAAATGCAAATGTTACAGGCCAAGAAAAGAAGAATGGACATGCTACTTCCTGATAAAAATGATGATCCTGATTGTCAGGTAATCGCCGTACAACCAAAAAACACCGATGGTGGTTTGCCACAAATTCAAAGCGTACAGGTGAATAATTTGCGGCTATTATTAATAAATGCTCATGAGGCTAAGGGCCAGTTTTGTCAAAAACACTTTTTTCCACATTTTGAAAAATATTCTTTGCTTTTGTTACAATAGCAAAACGAATTAACCGAAATTTTTTTAATTTTAGGGAGGGACTAGTGATCCGGGTGATAACAGTGTCATGCACCTTTCCGATTCTATTACGTTATCAGTACGAAATCCTCCGAAACAAGAGCAGCAGCCAAAGAAGTCAGATGCGAAGGCAGTCGCCAATATTTTGGCTACACGGGGTATAACAGTAACCGCGGCTCCCAAACCCAAAGAAAAACAGCCACAAACGAAGGGAAGTCCTCCACCACCACCTGTTGCCATAAATCTTAATAGTGCCGTTAGTATTATACCAACTGCCAAAAATGGGAACGACTCACCAAAAAAGGTGAGTAAATTTAAAAACGACCCTTTTAATAGGAATGCCTTTAATGCGAACTCCTAGTTCATGAAGTAATTAACTTAATATTTTTTGTTTACAATCGGAAAAGCCAAAAAGATTAAGTTTCATTTTATTAATTTCAGGTACCTGATTCGAGATTACCGACAGTAGATTTGACTGACGATTCCGTCCCTGACCCCAAACCATCCCAACAACAAACCAACAAAGGCGTTCCTAGCTCACCCCAAAAAGGCGGTAATCCACGAGCAAATTCAGCGTCCCTTCCGCATCGCTGCGATCTTTGTCCCGCTCAATATCCAACTCCTATGGGATTAAGTAAGCACCGGCAGAGTTACCACAAAACAGGGGGCCCTTGCGAAATCGGCGTGCCCCTTGTCGACTTAAAAAATCCCGGAGTTTTGCAAAAATTAAGCGCTCTAGGGATTTACAATTACATCCCTTTGCCCGGTTCTAATACAGACGGGTGCTTTGCCCTTCCCGTGGTATCACTTAATGCCGCAAAAAATCCTAATGTTTGTAATCTTAATGGTATAGGTGCTAGCTCAATACTAACACTGGGACCTGTACGGTCATTGCCTAGAGCGACACCCCCAAATGGTAATACGAATTTAGGAAAGTAAAGGGAAGTCAGTTTTAGAAAAGTAATGTACAGTTATTACAAGATTTTAAGAAATCAATTACGTAACAAACATTTTCGTAATTGACGAAAGAAATTTTATAAAATAATATATGCAAGTGTGTTAAATGAGTAAGCGTATGCATTTCTTTTCTGAAATACAGCAATTCCTAAAATTAAAGATTTTGTGTAAAAATGTCCTTTTTTATATTGAATGTTGTTGTTTTTAATTTAACAGTAATGATGACTGATTTTTTTTGTGATGATAGATGATAGGTTCCTTTGTCTGATAAGATATAAATAATACATTCGTTTTCGGAATGATCTAAGTGTAAGCGGTTTAATTTTCTTATTCTTATTAGAATTCTTCAACATTGGTTAATTACACAAAATAATCCTGTTGGATTAGGATTTTTTGTTTCTTTTATTTTTGAAACTTCCCTGTTTCAGAGGGCTTTGCAGTTACACTGTTTAATGTATGAAAAGTAAATACACTTTCCATTTTCATTTTTTACTAAAAGCTGTACATTGAGCTTATAAATTATTTCTTTTTTGTGCAATTTACATATGTTGTTAAGTTTTTTTATCCACATGTAAATATAGTTTAATGATAGTTTAATGTATTTTTACACTAACTGAATAAAAGTAAATATTTTTTAAAATGTTAAATTTTATTACACATTACTTCGTTTTATTTTTTCATACGTATATGAAATGGAAGCCTTTGCTTTGTATTAGGGCTAATGTGCTTGCGAGATTAGAAACCATGTACTACAATATTAACTGAGCATCGATTTGGTCGAGATTAAGTAGATCGAAATCGAGATCCATATTTAATAGTTATTACCCAAGAACTTATAATGGGTTTAAGATGAATAATTTTTTTTTTGAGTTTACGATTTGTAATTTCTGATAAACGGCAGAATGCGAAATTAACTTGAAATTAAAATTGTTGAAAATAACAAAACATTCAACAGTAGGCAATTTAATAATAATAATAATAATGTAACAATACAACAAATAATGTTTTTGTGAATGTAAAATGTATTTCTCTAAATATAAAATCTAGCTATTTAGACTTAAAATAACGGATATTTACAATTTTCATGATATAATATGTATAATGTTTTCTTAAGTCACACTTAACTCTTTTTAAAGGCAAATATACTTCATAAATACAGGTTGTGGACAGAATAAATTACAGTAAAATTGTCAAATTGCAAAAAAATACAAGGAAAACGCGAACGAGTTTTTACTAAGTATAATTATTATTTCTTTTCTTTTCAATTTTTTATTAGTTGTTTCTGTTAAGTTTACTTAATCGACTCCTGCAAAACCTTGCGAACCTTCAATAGCTTTTATTAATTTGTCTCGTAGCTGCTGGTAACTATCATAAGGGGGTAAATCTAACCGATTGAAGCTGCAATTGAATTGCATTATAGAAGACAAAAAAAAAAATAGCTAATTGTCGTAATTCCCTATCTAATGGAATATTTAAAAAACTTACCATGTGTGAGATCTGGGGTAATTATCTGGAGTGCCCCACTTCTCAATGGTAAACAGCTGGGGGCCATTACTACCGTACAGTTCTTTAAATCCGTTCATTGGTACCCGGGAAGTTCCTGTGACGAATTGCAACAGCCTCGAGCGCATCTCGTTCGAAAATGACAAAACCACCTGAGTAAAAAATAAAATATTATAGTCCTAAGGTTTGGAAATGTCATAATATAATAAGCATAATGAATCGATTGTAAAAACTATTAAGAAACTATAATTCTGAAACTTTCAAATTTCCAATCGGTATTCAAGAAAAATAAAAGTAAAACAAACTTTTTTTAATGGTTCCTATACTAATATGATAGCATTATAGTAACACCAAAAAGATTGCTATTTTGTTAAAATGAGTCCAGTTATTTTCCAATTTTTTATCAATAATATACTCTTAGAAGGTCTAAAAGTTATTCAAAACATACCCTCCAGAACCATTGGATTATAATGTGATTTGCGTGATAATCGCCCTTGTAGACAGTGTTTTGTTTCCAGTCTTTCACGTCCACATTTTGAATGCCACACATGAGTAGCTCGAGTTCGTGCTCGTCAAAAATCATGATAGCGTGGAGGGGCAATAAGTCACTGAAACCTTCCAAGAACGCGTTCATCTGAGGCTGCACCCTTTCGACGAACCTCCATTTAATCACACACCTATCAATCATTAATTCGTTAATAATGGTTAAGGCGTAACCTTGATGGCCACGGTTTTGAGAGTTCTGCTTCTTCGGTTGGTGTTACCCATCCATCGTCTCAATGCCAACTGTAGCAGGCAACCTCAGGATTTACTGCTAGGGATATAAATCTTGAGGATGTCAGCCACATTGGTCGGAGACGTGTTGGATAAACAATTTAACCCAAAAAGGTTTCGACGAAGAAGAATTCATCAATGTCGAATGGCCACATCTCAATAGAGGGTATTTGGAAACAACAGAATGCAAAATAAATAGCTGTCTTACTGAATGTATTCGTCCTTATTAGAATTATCTACGGGAATGTTTGCGCCATCGGTTTTCAGTTCGTGTTGTGATGTCTGTCCGAAGGAGTCTTCGTCAACTGCGAAGGTCAAACCTAGGTCGGATGGGTCATTTTCTTTTATCCATAAAAGTGATTTGTAATATTCACTGTCGACCGATTCCATATCTTTGATATCAATCGGTTTATTTAACATCATCTTATAAAACGGTCTAATAAAAAATGCTAAAAAGAAAATATATAATTGTTACAAAATGATTTGAAAACAATCTAATGAAAAATTTTTTTAAAAGAATACAAAATTAATTAATACCAAAATAAATTCAGATGAATCACATTCATAGCATATTTGCAAGAAATGCACTAGAAGTACATATATGTTATTTATTTATTACATAACTCACCATCTAATAGTTTTCCATGATACACAGCCATACCTGCCACCCGTCCAATAAACTTGAAATAATTTAAGTGTTCTTCATTGCACATCCCTGAAAACGGATTTATTTGTAGAGTATAATTGTCCCTACAAACAATAATTTAATTGTTATTGACAAAATAACGCTAAAAACAGAGATATTGTTTTACATTGCAGAATATTCGAAAAGTCCATAGTACGGATTGAACATTTCTTTCGATAAAAGGTAAAACCATTCTCGGGCTAGGCCTCCATAATCCAGACCTACTTCTGCCTCGAATTCTATCCATAATTTCGTCTTTAACAAATCCACCCTAGGCACCGTCGTTATTGCTACGTAGGAGTCTTCCAGAATATTATTTCTTCTAACCTTTATTTCGAATTTATTGGGAACGTTTGTCTGTAATAATAATACGTAAATTATTCTTAACAGACACCTAACAACGAACACAGCAAAAACACTCGATAATGTGAACAGTAAAAAAACAGTTGTTCACATTATCGATTTGTTTATATTACAAACATATAATCAACAAAATAAAAACATATGAAAGACAACTGTGGTTGAAAAGATAAACTTTCTTCAGAATTTTTTTAAAAAGCTACTTTTAAATCCTCAGGCAATTTTTTCTATTCTGGAGAAACTGGTAATTTTTCAATGCTTTTATTTTACTTGGTCCGATATATGAATCTCTCACAGCAATGGACATTAGTTCTTTTTTTTGTATTATCTTATAAATTCTAGATTTTGCGACACCATATTTTTTAACTGCTAAATTACTTAGGCAGATACGTAGAATGCAGATAATACAACCCCTAACAACGAACTATATGCATATCAAAAGTTAATATACAAATAAGACAATATCTTTACAGCTAATACGACTGGGTATACCAAAAATGTCAGGGATTTATAGCAGTTACGCAACAATAACGCGAAGTATAAATTTTTAAGGCCAATGTGTTGGTCACATTATGCGATGATGCAGTATCGAGATTCTACTATGCACAGTTTTTTTTTATACCTTGACTTGCATTAACGAATCTTGACAAGTTTATTAAAATAATCATAAATACTTAAGCACTCACCGGTTTTTTTAATTGCATCTTCATAAACTCATATTTCCTCTTATAGTCTCTAGAGTAAGGTATTGCAGGACCAGCAATCTTAGGATTAGATAATCGTGGGTCATCCCACTGTGTAGTTCTTGTGTCTATTTAGAGAATATTAAGGGATAACATTAAATTAAAATATAAATAATGTATTAACTACAGGAAACATATCGCCATCTAGTGGTACTTGCCGCTAACAGTGCAGAATTTAAAATGTTTCACGAGCAGGGCCGTAGCGAGGTCGATTCAAGCGGTGCGGCGCACCGGGGCCCCCGCAGTCGAGGGGCCCCTTAGCAGTTTTCTGTTTTCAAAAAATGACTTTTTTTAATGACATTTTTCATCTCATTTCTCATCGCTACGGCCCTGTTCACGAGGCCTTACAATGGCATTAAAAAAACTTATTAATGTATTAACAGCGATTGAAAGCAAATTAAAGTTCCTCTCAAAAACAGAAAAATTAAGACATCGTTTCTTACTGTGATCTATAAAAAAGATCCGACCATCACTATGGACGCGCTCTTCCCATCCTTCCGGAAGTGGTCCCAAGTCGTCGTCCGGTCTTCTGTTGGTAACTGGTGCGGTATTCTGATTGGGCATAGGACTCGCTCGTCCGGTTCGGGGATCGACCCACGTGGTGGTACGTTCGTTGTGATCGATGAAGAACCACCGACCATTGGGTGCCAACTGCATCGTCCATCCTGACGGTAAACCCTCGCTTAAATTCTGTAAATTGTTTTGTGCCACGCTACTGGCATTTGAAGTTGTCGAGTCCCTTCTTGAAGCAGTTGTAGACGTGTCTGTTGTATCTTCGTTCTGAAATGAAACGTTTCAAACAAACAACTGGCTATAGAGTTTGGCATATAATAAAATAATTAACAGGAAACAAAAAAAAGTATACACAATTTTCTCAACGCTTCCGAAAGTTTCATGGAACTCCTTTGGAAAGGTTTAAAAAATTGTTTGTTATAATTTCGAGCTAATTAGAATTGGTTTTAAATAAAATATACAAACGAATGAACACATGTAATACACAATTATATATATGGGAATTAAAGGCCAGATAACTAAAAATGTTATTAATGCAAGAAAAAAGATAAATTAGAATTTAATAAAAGCACTCCTGCTTAGCATAAGCAATTCAATTGAACAACATTCTACTTTTTCTACCCTCAAAAGTACAGTTTAATATTTCAAATTGTATTAGTTTCACAAATTAAACATGCACAATACTTGCGCACCAACGATATTTCATTTTCATCAAATTTCTACATATTTTTTTAGTTCCACCTTTCGATTTTCGTCCTTTAGCTGCTTATCGATCTCATGTGACAACGACAGTCATTTAATTTTAAATGGGTGAAGCGTAAAAAAAGACGAGACTACATATGGGAGACATCACGCTACACATTGTTAGTACAAACCTCGTCGTACTGGTCATCATCACCGTTCACGGCTTCTACGATGGGGGGTGGTGCGCGCCCCCGTCGACGTCTACGACGCTGTCGACGACATTGTTCACACTCTTCGTTCGCATCTGAATCATCGTCATCGCTAGACGAACTAACGCCGTTGTCCGACGCGGAGGCACTAGAGGTTGTCGATCCGTTGGGAACGACGATTGCAACCTCCGGATGAGGGGGCGTCGTTGTAGCCCCGTCGGACGAACGGCGACTGTGACGACGATGTTGATGCAGATCGGAGTCAACGCGATTTTCAATGACGCCATCTACTACGACCGCGTCTTCACCCGTTTCCGGTGGCGGGGGTGGTGTTTGTGACGTTTCCACTACATCCTGCGCGCCAAGGAAGTAGCAGCCCAGCGCAGCAACAGCAGCAGCAAAAAACATGCACATGCAATAAATTTATGCCGAAGTGGGCGGTTGCAGTTGAGCAAATTAACCATGGAATTAGCACAATTAAAATAGATTTAGTGTAGTTAGAATTTCATTTTTTTTTTTAATAAGAACTCCCAAAACCAGACCTGACGTTTTTAATATAAGATTCAACAAATGAAAAATAAATAGGATATCATTCACCAGGTCACAGAAAGAGGAAAAAACTATGTACAAATTTTACAATAGGGAAGCGCCATATTTTATAGCAACATGTTTAAAGGCAATTTTAACGAAGTTTATTAGTAACAGAACTATAATACCATATGCACAGAATATAAATATTTTACCAGCTCAACAAACTGTGGAAATTACATTCTTCCAAGAAAATCATCATGCAAATTTTAATTCTTCTATAATCATGCATTCATTACCTTCTTCCTATTGTCATTATCTTACATACTAATAGTAAAATAATTACCTAATTTAATAAAATAAATTATACCTATCGTACAATTTATTAAAAATACGCACTTACCTGGTTATTAATGCTGACTGTTGAATTTCTCCTGGTATCATTTTCGGTATCTTCAGTGAAATGGAATCTACGTTCAAATTCTACAGCCGAGTCGAGAACTCTTTGTTCCTGGTTTTCATTATTGCTAGCCGTGCTAAAAATTAAAATTATTTAAAAAAATTGTTTTCATATATGTACATTAGAATAAAAGTTATTTCAAAATTAGTTAAAAATGTACAATGAAGTAGTTTAAGTCTTTACCACGTACTTTTATTTTGGTGGCAAATAAATAAATAAAAAAAAAAGAGTTACCTCTGCATAGGTCTTTCCCATTGTGTTGTCCTTGCAATGTGATTGACATAATACGTTCGACCGTTAGCATCTTGCCTTTCCTCCCAACCAGGAGGTAAAGCTGCATTTGACTCTGAGGATGACACGAAGACTGGCTGAAAATATAATACCTATGATTTTCCGAAATTAAAGGAAATTGCTGCCAATAACTTATCCGGTGCGTATACAATAGGGAGGAGCTAGGTATAAGAGAAACTACACTAGAGATATAAGAAATCTGAAATTTATTATTTATGATAGAACAATTCGGAAAACAGTACTATTCACTTTATCGGAGTAAATTAAAAAAAGTTTTCTAAAATGCATACTGGTAAAGTACAAAACCGTTGCCGTATGTATAATTCACATTTGGCCCGAATCCAATTATTTTTATTAATATTTCCAAAGTTAAATATCAATATGCATTTTGTCATTTGAAAATTTTGACTCAAAAATTTAATATTTGTTTAATAAAAGTAATAAAGTTAAGCTCGATACGCGTCTCTTTGTTATTATCAAGACAAGAATAAATGATAAGACATACATGGGCAGGTTGTTCGACGCCACCATGAGAGTTAATCAGTTCCCAGTCGCCTGCTCTGTCTTCGCTGTTGACCTCTTCGGACGGTCCATTCGAATCTTTGATGTAGGCATGATACACCTCCAGGTGCCCTCGAACTTTCGATCTAGCGCTGTAACTACTACATACAGCAACACAGGTGCACCAGGTAAAAAAGAACCATGCAATAGAAAAAAGAATATATTTTAGTCTAGGCTAACACTAACAATATTGACAATCGTGTATTTCTGTACCAAAAAAAAAACTGATTTAATTGAAAATCAATAATTTAAAAATGTAATATTATAAATAATTTGTAAATACGTATAAATTGGCCCGAAAATTTTTAAGTAACTTTTTGGAATAAAATTTCCAGATTTTCAAAGTGAGAACCTAGACTAAAGAAATTCAAAGCTGTATATGTATGTATGTAAAAAAGTAAATGAAATTAATTAGAAATTAACAATAAGTTTGTTAAGATGCTGCTGTATTATCATGTATAAGTATACAGAGTAGGAAAGTTAATATTCGTAATTAGTAATATTATCAAAACTGTTATCTCGAAATGAAATAATTATGTAGAAGGCTGCCATAAAATCAGTTGCTAATTAATTAGGTCTACTAGTAAATCTATTGAGCAAATGTGTATTACTTGAAGCCGAAGCGGTCTTCTGTTGGTAACTGGTGCGGTATTCTGATTGGGCATAGGACTCGCTCGTCCGGTTCGGGGATCGACCCACGTGGTGGTACGTTCGTTGTGATCGATGAAGAACCACCGACCATTGGGTGCCAACTGCATCGTCCATCCTGACGGTAAACCCTCGCTTAAATTCTGTAAATTGTTTTGTGCCACGCTACTGGCATTTGAAGTTGTCGAGTCCCTTCTTGAAGCAGTTGTAGACGTGTCTGTTGTATCTTCGTTCTGAAATGAAACGTTTCAAACAAACAACTGGCTATAGAGTTTGGCATATAATAAAATAATTAACAGGAAACAAAAAAAAGTATACACAATTTTCTCAACGCTTCCGAAAGTTTCATGGAACTCCTTTGGAAAGGTTTAAAAAATTGTTTGTTATAATTTCGAGCTAATTAGAATTGGTTTTAAATAAAATATACAAACGAATGAACACATGTAATACACAATTATATATATGGGAATTAAAGGCCAGATAACTAAAAATGTTATTAATGCAAGAAAAAAGATAAATTAGAATTTAATAAAAGCACTCCTGCTTAGCATAAGCAATTCAATTGAACAACATTCTACTTTTTCTACCCTCAAAAGTACAGTTTAATATTTCAAATTGTATTAGTTTCACAAATTAAACATGCACAATACTTGCGCACCAACGATATTTCATTTTCATCAAATTTCTACNGTACCTTTTTTTTCGTTTTCGTGAGAACTGAATCAACTGTGTCGTCTCCATTTATTGTATTCAGATCTATTCTAACATATGGGTCACTGAAACAAAATGAAGTAATTTTTATTAAAATGTTAAATTTTAATGTGAAATAAAATAACTCATTCATAAGTTAAAATATGTATACGTACTATTTGTAACGTAAACAACATATAACTGTTTTTTGATGTGTAATTTCTTAGTACATATACATAAATAATTAATAATCTTTACGCAAAAATAAACAGACTAATAATATTATTAAAAATATGTGGCATCAAACTACTTATTTATTATTGCATTTCTTAAAAGCTGCAGCCGATTTTGATAATATCTACGAAAAGTATATTTTATTGCGCAGATAATAATTACATAATGTATACTTGTTTTGTAAATTTTACCATAAATATTTACATTTCCAGGATTTTAAATTGAGAACAATAATCAATAACAACTGTATATGTAAATACATTATAAATTTGCAGGTTTACTGATGAAGAAAATTTATAGCAAAAAAATTCATGAACTTATTTCTTTATATACGGAAACTTATGATTTAAAATTAATAAAACATTGTCCTTCACAATCCGTATTAAATTAAGTTAGGTATAACAGTCTTTCTTTTATCAGTAAAATTGGCTTTAAAAAATACATCCTAACATTATTTTAGTTCAGTTCTGACAAAATTAATTCAAAATCAATGTAATTTCAACTGAATGATGAGTAAGATATATGCTTATTAAACATACAATTAACAAAATGATGCACATTTTATCAAAACTTTGGTATATTACGAGATATGATGAAACATTAAATAGCATACTTATAGTAAGAAAAGTTATTCCAGTTAAAATAAAAGTGCATAAAGTATCAATTATCACTTGCATTGGTTCTTGTATGGTTTCTGCGTTGGTTTAAGTCTATTTAAAGAATTTCATGCCTAATTAAACATATTGGATTAGATGACTACAATTATTAATTTAATTTTTATCAACTCTCATTATTTCATAACAAAAACTAATTATATTACTTTCATTAAGAAATGACAAAACATTAAAAATCAAATAACAAAACAGGCACAAATTTACTAAAAAAAGTGACCACTATAGGAAATCCATTAATAACTAGAAAAATAATTGTTCAACTAAAGAAATTGAATAAATAGTAACTGTTAATCAATTTAAAAGCACAAAAACTACGTACATACAAAGAGGTAAATCAATAATGTATATTCTATATATACAAGTTGATAACTCTAAAAAACTTTAAGGTCATCAGCTAGCAAGGTAACTACTCACATCAATTTATGGAAAAAGTGTACTTATAGGTAGAGGTATCAGTAAAGAATAATACTGATAAAGGAAATGAAGTTAAATGACCTTCTTGTATTTTTAAATTTCAAAGTAAACAAGCACTAAAATATTGTGTACTGCATACATTGTTTTTTTTATAAGAGAAATTGTTATTTTGCCCTCCTATTTACAACACAAGCATTAAAGCTAATTACTAACCTGGCTCCAAAGATATCCTTTTTAGCTAACTGATGCCCTTTAATAATCTTCAAGCGTAGCTTACTGGTTGGTTCCTCTGTCTAAAACAATATGCACTCATTAGGTAATGAAAAACTCATGATGCATATTTGTTTCGAAATCGATTAAAAAGGCAAGGATATTATATGCATATAACTTAACATTACAACATTTGACATACAGGTATGTAATTATCACCTGAAAATTAATTATAAAAATTACTTGAGGCGTTTGCTTACATAGCCATCGGCACCAACAGAAGGAATGTATCCATAAACAGTCCCTGATGCCATGAAAAAAATAAGTTAGAATAAACTTGGTCCCATAAATAAAAAATAACCCATTGGCAAAAATTACAAACTTGCAATTCTAACTTTTATCGAATTTGACAATTGACAAGTTAACAAAACGTCAAACGTCAAAAGACCCCACCGTTGATTATTCACGAATAGCAAATGAAATTAATTGTTTCTGACATGCGCATTACTCCTTCGTTAGCGAACGCGGGAGATTCTTATTATTTAAAATGAACTTTAAGGAGAAGTAACGTATTATTGGAATTTGACATGGTTTAAGGATATATTCATTCTATTTGTAACAAAATCCAGCAGTGTTTATAATATAAATATGCCTAGTATAAAAATAAATTTTGACATGTTAGCAAGATCATATAAAATATTATTACTTTTATTTAATAAGACTAATCTCAATTTTTATCTTGTCTAATCAATAATAAATCAACTAAAATTAAAAACAGGTGTATCATAATTACTTTAGCGCACACAAGCTGTTTTAACTATATGTACATAATTGCAAAATTTGAAGCAATAGATTACTATTATACANAACTAAAATATATTTTTAATATTTAATATTCAAATAATAAGTAGATTTAAAGCGTAAAAGAAACACAAAATGCATATTATTTTCTTATGAAAATTTTTATATTAGGTAAAAAATAATTGTTTTTACCGCAGCGATGTTAAATAGAGATCCCCTAGGAGTGGCAGACACTTCAATTTCTTCGTTTGGAGGTCTCGCGCTCCATGTATTCGACCTAACACGTAATCTCCTTGATGAATCCATATTAATATCATTTTCACTTGCACTAGAAATTTTCTTTTTACGAAAACCTAACGACAAAATCCTCGACGAATTCATTTGAGTATTTAAAAGGCGCTCACTTTTTTGGTAACTCCGCCGCAACCCATACTTGCCAGCTTGGGTGATATTTTTCTACAGTTAAATGATTAAATCAAAAAATAGCACTGTCTACTTAGTGTGACTTGTAAAGGATCAAAAATGTGACTCTTGTCTTATCTTTTTAATAGATTAAAACCTGCAAATAAACGACAAACATAAGAAGCTTCATTTGAAAACATAGGCGTGTTAAGAACGCGAACAAAATCGGTTTTTTTTATAAATACGTTTAACTAATCGTTTGATTTAAAATCTCAACAAGACAAACGATAATAAATATTTCCCAAAAGTTTATTTTCAAGTACCTACCTACATATAATTATTTTCAAATATTCGCAGTATACATATAGGTAATCTTTTTTTATTGTTTAAATATTTATTTATACATAATATGTACTTTATATGTAGTATACTTCGTATTTGTGGTGATTTGCGACCGCTTTGAAATAAAACAAAGGAACGATGATATTCTCTAATTGTTTTGTTTGTTTAACAGGTAGACATATTAAAATTTGCAATTTCATTCGATTCTTCAAGGACGTGAGCGTTTAATTGTAAAAATATTAATTCGTAGGTAACAACAGCACTTGCCATCTACAAGGAAAAATAACAATCGATACAATTAATTATAAAATGCAAACAGTTGTGATCTTACGCTCAAAATCAATCCTCTTTTTACGTAAAATAAATTTTTACCTGATAACGTAATGTTATCGTATCGAAGTTGATCTACAAATCTTGAAACCTGCGATTCAACGTTATTTTTATTTATTTAATTATTTATTCACAGTAAAATACGAAATAAAAAAAAAAACCGAAAACAAAAATTAGTAGAACTCAAACTATAATTAGGTGCAATTGTTGTGAAACTGTATTTTAAAAAGTTAAAATAAAAGAGTAGATAGCAAAAAGTTTCATTGAAATTTTTATTGGATTACTTAACACTGTGAAATTGTTGCGTGAAAAAAATCGAATAGATTTGCTCCTGTAACATTGGCGCCGGCAGGATTTTTTTTCAGTGGGGGGAGGGGGCAAAATAGAACTTTTTTTATTGTAATTCATCTAACATTTAGTATTTAAAACTTTCTACTGGATACTGTTTTATTTAAACTTCTTCGATAAAAATTAGTAATTGTTGGTGTACCTCAACGTTGAAACATTCTGACGAAACGTCGGCAAGAATATAAATCGGTTCCCTACTTTCGTCGTTAATCCATGCTGCATATAGGCATACACAAAACGTCCTCGCAATCAAAAACGCGAAAGAGAAGAAAAAGTAAAATTTGTCTATTAAATCTTTGCGAAATCTACAACGTATTACAAAAATAAAATACATTTAGATACATTAGAAGCTACTTTTGTAAAATGTACAGGGTGTTGCACTCAGGAGCGAAACGGTTACAGTGGCTGGGTGGGTTATGGAGTTTAAAACATTTCGTTTATGGGATTATGCGGTTGTAAACAATTAAATGCGAAGATAATGAAAAGCTATAATAATGGAAATAAAGAAATAAAATAAAACTAAAAAAATAAAAATCATACAAGTTTCATTTTTAAAATCGTCCAAAATCACACACTCTTAAAAATGCTAAAAAAATTTTTTTGGTTTTCATCTAATTTTTAATGTTAGCGTCTATTTTGTTTCATTGCTAATGTTTAATATTTTATTAACCAAATCTGGAGGTCAAATTTCTTATACATACCCAGTCCGGCCCTGATTTTACTTCATTATTTTTAAAATCTTTACTAAATAAATACATGTACAAAGTATTAAAAAACTTATCAATACAGTTTTAAAATGTATCACATTATTATCAAGTTATCATTTCAATTGATCGCAATATTGTACAGTTAACTTTTTATTAGAATTTTGCGCTTTTCATTCCAGTGACATACAGACAAACGGACGGGTACCTAAAAGGTTCCATTTATTTCCTTTTCGGTACGGAAAAGTGCTTGATAATGAAACACCCTGTACGTACAAGTATTAAAAAACATGTCGTCAGTTTTCTTACCGTAAACTGTTAAACAATTGTATTATAATAAAAGTCAAATTACTGGCAAAACATAAACATGTTATATTTCCTATGGCGTTATCGACTGTTTTCGTTAAAATCGCCAATCTTTGATAATCCTCCCTTATTTCCCTCCACCGATCTATGTCACTTATCTAGAATAATTATTTTTATTTTTAAAAAATGTGTAGTGTAATGAGGTTTTCACTTCTTCTAACGCCATATTTTATAATCGCGAAACACTGCGTCTCATTACAGTAATAACGAATTAGATTAGAACTAAATTTTCAGAAAATCTTCTGATATTTTCAGATGCAACATAAAAAGAAACAAAGAAACGTGTAATTTCTTTACGTATACCTGTATGTGTAGGTCAGACAAGCAGGTCATTCCTAAATCGAATTAAAGAGCATAAAAAAGTTACGAAAACAATTAAAATAATTGTAAGTATTTATTTTAAGGTTTTATATTTAAGAAGATTCGTAAGGAAGCAAAGTTATTACTACAAATTAACAATTAAAACTTTAAAACGTACCTTTTCCCTCAAAAATAATCGTAAACGACGTGATATTTGCCGAAATCTTAAGGCCAATCCTATTCCGATAATCATAACAAATACATCTCCATAAGACCACGCAAATGTTGAAGTGGTATTAAAGATCTGTAAGTAGAAAAATTAAAAATTTTAAAACTGTATTGAGATTTCGATTAAATGGTTTAAGAGACCATTAATAAAACACCTTTCCATGTTGAATATTCCGTATAAATGAACACTGGCTTATACAAAACAGTTGTCATCAAATATTCAAAAATGCCCTCGATTTCTTCGCGTCTACATTTATAACTCTGTATTAGGTGAATTGATTTTGAAAGAAGTGTTTCAACTGAAGCAAATAAATAATAAAAAATGAAAATCGTAATTCAATTACAAAAAAAACAAAATGTTACAATACCTAAAGCCGTTACAAACAAAACAGTAGTCAGTAATTTCAAACGAAAATTTAAATATGGCATGTATCCGTACGAAACCATGGAATTATCAACCAATTCCCATTTCTTCATTAGTGAGGGCCAATGAAAGGCAAGCTTCAAAAACAATATCATCATGGTACCAGTAACACCATAAAACCACACAGAAACTGAAAAAGGCACCTTCTTGACTTTAACAAAAAAAAAAGACTAACATTTTTTTTGCTTACGCATGTAATCCCAAAAATCAAACCCAACTCTAAAATTTTCCAAAAAGTAAAGCAATCCTAACAATAACGTAATGCACGAATTAAGAATACAATAAAAGGTAACTACGGACGTCCACGAAAATTTTAAATCTGAAGCACTAGGCCCATGACAACCGTGAACAGGAAACAAACCGAATATTTGACCCAAATAAACAAAAAAACCGATTGTGCGATAAAATGGTTGTGGCGAATTTTTCGCAACTTGATTTTGAACTGTTTTTTTAGGACCCATTTTTATACAAACATTTCAAGAGTAACTATTAATTTTATTTAGAACTTCTGGAAAACATCGTTTTGATTCTCGATCTGACCTTCTTTGACTAAAATACAGAGTAATATAAATTATACTTTGCACGCTATGTGCCATTTAATTGTTTACATGTTTTTTTTTTGGTATCGATCTTTGCAATGCTCCTATGTGTGCACAGATATATAGGTATAATATGATTTATTTTCCTAAACTCAAAATGTGCGCTTAATATTTCGTAAAATAAAATGGAAAAGAAGTTTGTTTAGAAAGCAATGTGTAATCACGCAATAGCTGGTGCGAGTTTACGCTGGGTAAATACCACAAAATAAACATCAATACACAAGCCGCAATAAAGAAAACGTGTTCATTTAAAAAAAATTCATCAACGAATTTATTGGTTACGTATTAGGCACCATTAAAAAGGCTAAATCTTGGGTATAGAAATTAATAGTCTTGTTTTATTAATTGTTTTATATATTTTTTAAAACGTTCCTTACATTAAACCATTATGTGACGCCCCTGGATTTTCATTTTGTTCAACAATCGTTCTTCAATTTTTTTTTGGGGACGTCTTGAACCACTTGACATGTGTTGAGATACATTGAGGTAGAATGTATGCTAGAGACATTTTTTTGTCATGAGTTCTTGAATGTAGTTGCATATATTTTATTTTCAAAATTAGCAGAAAAAATTGGCCCATTTCATTATAAAATACATAAATCGCGAACGAAAAAGTGTAGTACCTTTTATTACTTGCAACATCCTTATTGAATTCACCATCATAATCATAATACAAATTATTCAAATTAATCTATTATGAATACACCAAACACAAAGAAAATTTTCGAGTTTATTCGTTTTGTGAACATCTTAAAACATCGACCACGAGAGGGATGGCGTCGGTCAGGTTTAAAAAACACAGAGACTATTTCAGGTCATATGTATGCAATGGGAATGATGACCTTCCTTCTTGGAGATAATACACCTTTAGATAGATTGAAATGTTTACAACTAGCGATAGTTCATGATCTGGCGGAAAGTATAATTGGAGATATCACACCACATGATAATGTCCCCGCAGACAAGAAGAAATTAATGGAAGATGAAGCCATGCAGCAAATAACATCTACATTGGAGGATGACATCGGCAAGACAATATATACATTATACAAAGAATATGAAGCCAAAGAAACACCAGAAGCTAAGTTTGTTAAAGATTTGGATAGATTTGATTTGTTATTTACAGCAACAGAATATGAACAAAGAGATAATATACCTGGAAAACTGGAGGAGTATTTTAAAACGACTGCTGACAAGATTGAACATCCCCTTATCAAAGCCTTGCTAGATTATCTACTGGAACAAAGACAGAAGAGTTGCTTGTAGGTTTTTTCCATTACTTAAGAAACAAAGTTTTTTATGATAACTTTTATTTTGTTTGATTTTGTAATAATAAAGTTGTCTTTAAAATGTTTGCTTTTTATTAAAATATACCTACATACAAATTTCTCAATTTGCCCATCAGTTATTTTGTTACAAGTAGAAACAAACGTAATAAATTAAAACAAATTACAACATATAAAAATATACATATTATTTTATACTGTTAAAAATGTTTAAAAAC